TTATACAACGTTCTTAAAATGGCAAAATTATAGAAATGGGGGAAAGAATGAAGAGGTTTCCAGGTATGGAGGAGGGAGTGTTGGTGGCCGGCAGGTGAATATGACTCCAAAAGAGCAACACGATCCTCGCGGTGACGGAAATGTTCTGTGTCTTGACTGTATCAACGTTAATATCCTGTTTGTGACGTTGCACTATTATTGTTTTACAAGATGCTACCAAACGGGGGGGACCTGAGTAACGAGAATAGGTAACCTTTGTGTGTTAGTTCTTTAACTACTTGTGAATCTATAATTATCTCTAAATAGAAAGTTAAACTTAAAAAAAAAAATTACCTGGATGTCTCAGTGGTTGAGCGTCTGCCTTCAGCTCAGGGCCTGATCCCGGTGTCCTGGGATCGAGTCCCGCATCGGGCTCCCTGCATGGAGCCTGCTTCTCCCTCTGCCTGTGTCTCTGCCTCTCTCTGTGTGTCTCTTGCAAATACATAAATGAAATCTTTTAAAAAAAATTACCTGAATTGGTCAAGATACAAACTCAAATTTGCTTAAATTATAAGTCACCCCATATCATGGGGCTAATCCATGTCACGTTACTAATACTGGACTGGTTTTGACTTAGAAAAATGACAATTTCATACCGGTCAACCTAATACAACAGGAATGTATTGGTTCACGTTAAGTGGAAAGTTCGTGTATTGAACCAGTTTCATTCAGGCACAGAATAATGGATCAAACGATATCTCCAGGCCTCTGTCACTCTCTCCATCTCTGACTCTGCTTTCCTACATGAATTGGCTTTATTCTTAGGATCATTCCACACAATTGGAAAAATGCTGCTAATGACCATGGGCCTGCATCTTCATGACTGTAGGCATCAAAGAAAAAGTGACCTTATCTATGTGCATAAATGTGACAAATATCAGGGAAGACTAATTGGATTTGCTTGGGTCACAAGTTGATCCATCAACCAATCGTTGTGGCCATGGTGGCAATTAACTCTGACTGTCCAGCCTGGTCTTCTCTATAGGGGGGACTCTGTGATCAACTCTATCAGGACCAATGGGATACCAAGCAGGCAATATGACAGATGTCTACTCTTCTATCTAAGTCGATGGATGGATGGATGGATGGATGGATGGATGGATGGATGGCAAGGAAATAACAAATATATGCACTCATGTTTATTGTTTGTTTTTCACAGGGGAGTAAGAGAAGGACTATGCATAATTTATTTTATTCTAAAAGTAAATTTCTCTGTTTAAAGTCTTTCTTTACTAAGCATAGATCACATTTTATTCCTTTTTTGAGGGAAAAATATATATTCATTACTACCAGGGTACATTTATGAAAGACTAAGGTCTAGGATGGGTGTAGTCTGCCAAAAATTCTAATACTCAAAAGGCTCTTTTATAAAGCCATGTTTGTAACTTAGAGATGGAAGAAGGGGTGGGCCGGCTGCTTGGGTCGCAGTGCGTAATGCTCACGGTGAAGAGAGAGGAGAGAGAGCAGGACTTGAGACAGTGCTTTATGTCTGTAGATTCTGCCAAAGGCAATTGTCTTTTTATATGAACAGCAGCCCAAGATGGGTACAGTGATTATAACAGGTTACTCTCAGCCATTCTTCCCCCAAATCACATCCCTGGCCTTCACAATTTTTTCTAGGTACATTTAGTAATCAGTTTTGTTTTTTTTTTTTTTAAACTCAATTTAAGACAATTAATTTTTTTTTTTAAGCTTTAATGTTCTGGCTGCCTTGTCTCTTAATGCATCTGTGCTGTAAGGGAAGTTCAATGAAACAGTCCCAACAGAGACCTGCTCCCAGTACATGATTTATTACCTAATGACCAGCATGTGGAGGGCTATTTGGTTGTTTAGACAGCTAGAGGAGGATCGCATGAGTTGTAAATGTACAATTTGTATAGTCAGAAGAACAATAACTTATAGGTTGATTATATCTTAATAAGGCCTCTGACTCCATTGTCTTGTTAAGGACTCTCTTTCCACCGGCATTCAAAAGGGAGAGAAAAAACCCCATCCTGCCAAATATTTTGTTTTTTTTTTTCATTGAATTTCTTTTAATGAAGATCTAACAAATCTATAGTAAAGTACCTAAAGTGTACAGCTCAATCAATTTTTTACTATGTCAGACTCAGTCCTGGGAGTCAGGACCTGTCAGCGGTCCCTGTCCCCTGCTCTACTGTTAAAACTCCGTATGATTAAAGGCGGCATGTCCCCTCCCCTGAATTTCAGTTGCCCCAACCATAAGGCGACAGTATTAAACTAGGCCGGTGTTTCACAGAGCGTGGCGTGCATATGTAAGATGATTCGAAGTATCCATGGAAGAATGTGTTTTTGCTTCGGTTGGTATGCAGTTTCTTTTTTAAACTTCCATATGGAGTTCTACTTCACATACAATAAAACACACAAATTTTTATTGAACAGTTCAGTGAATTTTTACCTAGGTACACAACATACAGCGCATATAAACCATTTGCAACTCCTCAAAAAGTTCTCTGGGCCCTACCCCAGTCACCATGCATCCCCTGGCTCCCAAGGTAACCAGCACGCTGAGTTCCATCAATATGAACTGGGTTTTTTGGCCTGTTCTTGAACATCCCGTAATTAAATCACGCAGTATCTACTCTTCATCTCTGCCTGGCCATTTTGCTCACCACTGTATCTGTGAAAACCACCCACGTTGTTGCATGCGGTAGTAGTTCATCCCTTTGCACTGCCAAACAGTATTCCATTGGATGAATATACCACAACTCATTCATCTCATTGCATTTGGATTATTTCCAGTTTGGGGCTATTGTGAACACAGTTGCTATTCCTCTAAATGTCTTTTGGTGGATATATGTACTCATCTCTCTTGGGTGTGTTCCTAGGAGTCAGACTGCTGAGTAATAGAGCACTCAAATATTCTACTTTTGTTTTGAAAACTGGATGTAGGGGATCCCTGGGTGGCGCAGCGGTTTGGCGCCTGCCTTTGGCCCAGGGCGCGATCCTGGAGACCCGGGATCGAGTCCCACATCAGGTTCCCGGTGCATGGAGCCTGCTTCTCCCTCTGCCTGTGTCTCTGCCTCTCTCTCTCTCTCTGTGACTATCATAAGTAAATAAAAAATTAAAAAAAGAAAAAAAAAAAAGAAAACTGGATATACCAGTGTCCACTCCAACAGCGTATGAGAGTTTTAGGTGACCCGCACTGTTGCCAACACTCGGCATTATTACATAAAATCTTCTATGGATATAAGGAGGTGCATTGGTAGTGGGGGCGGGGGGGCGGGAAATAGAGATCTCAAATGTTTTCAGATTTTTGTGGGAAATTTGTTAACTCCAAGGTGGGTTTTTAGTGCCCTGGTAAACACACCTCTAGAGGAAGGAATTTAGAGGGGACACATTTGGGTAAAGAGCTTGGATGAAGAAAGAGCACATGCTCAGCCAACCGCAGAGACCACAAAGCGGTGTGTTAGGTGTAGAGGTGGAGTGGGGAACAGGGTCCAAGAAAAGGCAATATTTTGGAGGATAAGAGTCAGAGTCCAGAAGATCTTGTAACACTGTAATGGAGGCTGGATCTGTTTCCCACTTACACAGATACGGGATGGGAGAGATATGTAACATTCCCAAGGATGTGTTAGCACTTTACACTAATGCAGTGTAAAATGACTGACAAATTCATTTGACTCAGGCCGAATTAGCAGATGTTAAGACTTCAGAAGTCCTCTTGATTAGAAGAGAGAATTTTATCTTTGCTCTGCTCTGTACCAGGAGCCCGCTTCTGGGGCATTCTGTTCCGTTTCAGAGACACATGCTATGAGGAGCACAGATAGGATGCATTTCAGGGCACAGTGCCCAGCATGTTGGAGAACTCGAAACCCTGCCACACAAGGAACAGATGTAGGAAGTGGGACATTGTTCTGGGAAAGAGAAATCTCAGTGATATGATAGCTGTCTTCAGCCATCTGAGGGCATGTCATGTGGAGGATGAATAGAATTCATACTGCATGACTCCGAAAGGTCAACGCCAACGGAGAAAAACTTTCAGGTTGGTACCAGGAAGGATGTTTACCGAGGTTGGCTAAAGAAGGAAGAGACTGCCTGGAGAGACTGTTCTGCTATCACCAAGGGTGTCCACTTATCTTTTGGTTGGCTACTTGCTGAAGCTACCTGAGAGGGAATTTAAGGATCTGATGAAAAGTTTGACAAATGACTCTAAGTTCCCTTTTAGCTCTGAGATCCCATGAGTCTGGCATGCGTGACTTTGGATTTCCTGGAACCTCAAAACAGGGGATGAGTTAAGGATTCTTCAGCACCAATCATATTTCCATGTGAGTTGCTTCCCATAAGCACTAGGTGGGGAATTATGCACGCTCCCACTCATTAGCTGCGACTCTGACAGTTAGGGGGCTCTGGTTGTAAGCAACAGAACCTGATTGGATACCCTAAGGGAAAAGGGAGTTTGTCGGAAAGAAGAGGAAAACCTAGAGAATCGGGGAGAGAGCTGAAGAATAAGGCATGAAGCGGGCAGAAACTAGCGCATCCTCTCATAGCTTCGCCACGGGGTGAAATGGCAGCCGAGGGCCCCCGCCCCACTCCTTGGCCCTACTCAGTGTTCCAAGTCCGGAAGGGGAGAGTGCCACCGACCTAATTAGGTCTTACACCTGCCCCTTGTCAAGAGAACTCAAGAAACATTGACGGTCAGCCCAAGGAAGTCTCCCAAGATGAAATCAGCAGGTATTATCAGAAGGGGCAAACAAGGGTGTCCTCTGCTTACGTCACCCCTTCCTCTCCTACTCAGGACAGCGCATCAGAGCTCCGGAGAGCATTTGATATGTTAGGAGGGGAACAACCTCCAACCTACTCTAATCTATCTTTAAAAGGGAAAAATGCACCCATCTGGACGCTTACATTTTTACGAGGAGCACATGTGACACGTACCACAACTGTGTGATGAAAAACCAGAAACCTAAGAACATGACTCCCCCGGGGAGCCAGGCAAGCCGATGGGCTTGCGCATCAACAAACAGGTATCGGATGCCTACGATGTGTCAAGCGCTGTACTAGACACCAACACTTATTAAGCCGGTGCAAAAATGGAAAGGCTAAATATTTATCCTGCGTGAACGCAAAGGGCGAGGGCGAGGGCAGGGCGTCGGGCTCCGCGGCCCGGGTGGCCAAGGAGGATCCATTTCAGGCCGGGCCCGGGGCCCTCCCGCCGCTGCCGGCCAATCGCCGGCCACCCCGGCCCGCAGCCCTCGCCCTTGGGAGGAGGAGGTGACACCCCCGGGATGAGGACATTTCAGTCCCGGCCAGCAGCTGTCACCCGAGAAAGATTGAGATCTGCCCTCCAGGCGACAAGGCCTGTTGTACCCGAGACAGGCACAGCTCAGATTCCCTCCCTGGGATGATTAACCCCCGGAAAAATGTGACAAATCCCCGGGCATCCGCCCTCCAGCCTGATGCCCTCCAGCCTGTGGCTCCCTGGCTCCGACCTTTCCCAGCCGGGCGGAGCCTGGAAGCTTCTGGGGAGTAATGTGGTGGGGGTGGGGGTGCACCCTCTCGGGGTGCAGGTGGGCGTGCTGGAGACATGCCCGGGGGAGGCGGCGGCGCCCAGCCCAGGCCGAGGTCAGAGACAGTGAGCCCGGCCGGTGGGGGTGCGTGGGCGCTGGGCCCCCACGGTGCTTGGCTGAGTCCCGAGGTCACAAGGTCACTTGTCCTGCAATTGCCCGCGCAGGGTGGGGGGCCCGGCCCGGATCTGGAGGCGTGGCGGCACGGGCGACACTAATCTGCAATTTCTGCGCTTAATCACTTCAGACAGGAGAGATTAAGCACCTGCACCTCAGGCTGCACTCACAGCTGGAAGGGCTGTGACCTTAGAGGCTTTCAGCTCGGCTGTCAGGGACCCGGGGGCCGGCGCCTCCCAGGGAGGGACCACACAGCGCCCCCCACGCTGATCCAGACCGCAGCATCTCCCGGGACCTCAGTTTTCACACCTGTTCAGTGGGTTGACCTAACCCTGGCACATCTCACCGCCTTTTAAGAACAAAAGATAGAACCCAGAGAGTATTTGAAAGTTAAAACACGACAGAAGTCTATGGATCTCCCCGACCTCTCTGGCATGCGAGTTTGGTCACCAAAGAACACCGATTTAATTTTTTTTTCCCCTTAGTCTCTAATCCACTTGAGGGAAATCAGCCTCAAAGCTTGGAGAGATGAGGGTAGGAGGCGGGTTGCAGGGCGGTGGTGGGGCAAGGGCTGCTTACTTGTGCAGGGATTCTTTCACGGAGTGAGGGAACCAAAGGACAGCCTGGCTTCTGACTTTTGTACAGATTCCTGTGATCTTTCGGACTCCGCTGATGAGAGCAGGAGGCCACTGCTTTAAAAGATAAAGAGACTGAGGTCCAGACAGGGGAAGTGACTCGCCCAAGGGCACCCAGGTGTTGGCCTGAATCAGCTCTGGAATTTCTTTTTTTTTAAGATTTTGTTTATTTATTCATTAGACAGAGAGAGAGAGAGAGAGGCCGAGACACTGGCAGAGGGAGAAGCAGGCTCCCTGCAGGGAGCCCGATGTGGGACTCCATCCCAGCACCCCGGGATCACGCCCTGAGCCAAAGGCAGACACTTTACCACTGAGCCACCCAGGCGCCCCAGCTCTGGAATTTCTTTGCAGCTTGTGAAACTAGCTTCCCTGACCCCGGACCTCAGCCTTGCCTTTCCCTAATCTTCAGGTTTTAGGATTGGGACCTTTCCCCCAAAGGGTTAGTGGGGTTGTTTTTCGTGATTGCGAAGCATCTTAAACTGCCCCCATAGAGCTGTTTTCTGACCCTGTCTCTCAAGCGGGGGGGGGGGGGCGGGGGGGCGGGGGAGGCAGGAGGTTCCAAGGGTTAAAGAGTACTCCGTGGTGTGGCATTCAGCAGAGGTGAGATGTTCACAAGCACTTGCTCAGTTTACAACTTGCTGTTAATAGAGGCCATTAATCACAGCCAACTGCAGCTGGCTCCGCCTGGGGTAGGGATGGCTCACCATCCCTGGGCGGGGCAGGCGGCGCGGAGTACACAGGGGGGGCCTCCTTCACTTACCCCTGAGGCCCAGATATCTGTCCTGGGAAGGAGGCAGTGGGGTAAGTGCTCCCATCATGGTGACACTAGCACATACCATTGGTGACCTGCTCTTTCCAGCTGAGTGTCCCAAATGCCCAACCGGAGTCAAATGCCTGACACGGTGTCTGGCACACGTTATACTTAATGAGTACATTTAAAGAGTCTGGTATTTGGAAGGCCTTGCCCCAAAACAGGGGAGAGGGAGGGAGAAATTTGGGTGGTTTCAACTGCCATCTGGGGGGCAGAAACCTGCTGTGATTCATCTCTAGGCAGGTAGAAGCTGCTGCTGGGTAGGTAGCTCATGGACAGAGTTTTCCTTGTAAGGAAGCAGTAGGGTGGGACACTACCCAGGTCGGGCTCAAGATGGGAGCTTCAGGGGCATCTGGGTGGCTCAGCCAGTTAAGCGGCTGCCTTTGGCTCAGGTCATGATCTTGGGGTCCTGGGATGGAGCCTGAGTCAGGCTTCCTGCTCAGCAGGGAGTCTGCTTCTCCCTCTCTCTCTGTTCCCCGCCCCTGCACTTGTGCTCTCTCTCTCTCTCTCAAATAAATAAATAAAAATCTTAAAAAAAAGAAAGAAAGAAAAAAAGATGTGACCTTCATGTCTCAGAGCTTGCTTCTCTTTCTATGGCTTCTGGTGGGGCCCACACGGCTCTGGCTCTGAGTCCTGGACATCCATGACGTCTCTAACTGAGGACTCTGGACCCTGTTGGATTTACTCAAGATCAGAATTCTAGTGGACTAGCCGTCTAGGCAGGCCTCCTAACAGAGTCCTAGGTGCGCAGTGCTGAGGAGGTAGGAAGGCCCGCTATCATGTTCCAGAATGTTCTACCCCAGTTTTAGATTGTGTCCTGGAGCCAAACACTGAATCACCAAGAGCCAACGTACTGTTAGGCTTCTTGAGGTCTAAGTCAGAGAAAGTGTCTGTTGTCTTTTGCCAACCACTTATTTTAATGCTTAAGCCTAGAACAAGGGCAAGTGAATGTGAGGGAAGAGATTTAAATAAAAGATTTAACAGCTTGATCGAGTCCAGCAGCCACCATGTCTGTGGAACTTACCCTATGCCTTACATATCATTCAAATATCACCTCGCTTAGAACTCCCAACAACCCCATTTTGCAAGTGTGGAAACAGAGGTGCAGAGAGATGAAATTACTTGACCAAGGTCACGGCCAGGAAGTGTCAGAACTGGATCTGACACCTGGGCTACCAGGCTCCAGAGTCTATGCTCTCACCCATCCAGAAAGGATGGAAAGAACCTTCCAGTGGTGTGGTTGAGACTCAGATGCTGAGACTCAGATGTCACGCACTCGCCAGATTCCGCCTTCAGCCCAGTGCGTGCAGCCCTCCCTGGAGAAGGGGGAGAGCGGGATGACCTCTGGAGGCCCTTCCAGACAAACAGGCCTCCCCCTCTCTCCGGGGTATTCCTCCCTCTTGGACTTCACGTGCTCCTCTTTCTGTCCAGTTCAACAGGCTGGTCCGGGTCTCCTGATTGAGTTCAGCTGTCGCTGTGGGACCAGGAGAGCAGCGCGCAAACCCCTGCAGGATTAGGGGTGCTGATGAGGCGGCCACCAGAGACCAGCATCACTTGACAGGCCTCTCTCTTTCACCGGTCACAGGGTTGAGCCTGGAGCCCTCTTGGCCGCCCTGGCCTCCCTGTGACCCAGCCCTTCTGGTTGCCATCCCCCCTTCTCTCACAGCTGCTGTTTTTGTAATTTTTTTGCCAGACCCTCCAAGCTCACCCTCTGTCACCTGGTGGCGGCTCACAGAGAAGGCGGAAAGGTTCAGAGGCCCACTTCCTGCCTCTCCGCAGGAGAGTCCCTCCTCCATGCCCGCCTGAGAGCTCTTGTCACAAGTCTCCGTGGGTGGAAATTCTTCGTGTTGTCAACACGTCTCAGCACTGACGACGTGGTGAGGCCAGGGCATATGCTGAGATGGAATTTCTGGGGGCAGGCTTCCGGGAATCTGTTGGGGGTACACACAAAGATTGAAAGCTTCCGGTCCGTCTAGCGCAGGGGTCTGCAAGGGGCCGGGGAGTGAGGATTGCGCAGGCCCCACGAGGTCTGCTGCAGCGTCTCAGTTCTGCTGTCGAAACACAACAGCACTAGGAGAGGAGAAGTGAACAGGTGTGGCTGTTTCCAATAAGACGATAATGACCACAACAGGCGATGGGCTATAACTTGCCGACCCCTGATGGAAGGCAGCGGTGGGCAGCTTGTGCGTGGCTGGGGCGCACCCGGCCCTCCACGAGCGGGGAGCCCTCCCTCATACCCCCCGCCAAGGCCGTGGGTAGACAGAGGCCGAGGGAGAGCACTGACCGAGCCTGGAAGGGGCTGCCTCAGGAGCCAGGAGCCCCCAGGCCTTCTGAGGACTGTATTCAGTCCCCCGCCTGCGGAGACTGCGGAGATGGCCTTCGTCGTGCCCGAGGAGTCCCCACAGCCCTAGCCTCGCTGTCACCTGCCGCTGGAGCTGGAGCGGCCCGAGGCTGATGCACTCAGGAGAAAGCCCAAAGCACATCCTTGTGGGTGTGTAGGGCTGGGGAGATGTTCCCGTCTGGGAGCCGGGGCTCAGTGGCCTCTGGGAAGCCCTTGGTGGGGACGGGCCTTGAGGAACCGTCTCGGATGGACCAGAATTCTCAGTGCCCCTTGGGGACCTCTCTTCCCTCTTCCCTCACCCCTACTCCTCTCCCACGCTGCTCGCTCTACCTGGGACACTCGCTCCCCACCTGCCTCACTTAGCCTGCTCGGCCTGCCAGCTTCCCAGGAAGCCTGCTCAGGTTGCTCCTGCTCCCCAAGCCTGGGCTGGGCTCGCCACCTGCGCTCCGGTCAAACCCGAGAGTCCCCGAAGTCCCCTTGCCGCACAGCCTTTATGGTGCTTCATGGTGACGGCCGGCTCGCGTGGGTCCTCGCTAGAAGGTAGGCAAGGCCGAGAGCTCTGTGCGGGCAGGGCCCCAACCCCGGGCACCTGGCACGAGACCTGCCGGGGCGACACTCATACAGGAGCGAGTCAACTAAATACCTAGCAAAGGAACAACTTCACCCACGTCGCGGGGCCGCGCTTTCCCTTCACGGTCGGGGGAATCCGTGTGTCCGTCACATTCTCTATAAGCTTCCCAAGGAGCTTGCGGGAGCGGAGGTCCTTTCCTGTGGTCCTAGAACCGGTCTTTCCCCTTCAGCTTGTGTGTCCGTTAACTGAGTCCGAACACACGTGCGCCCCATGTTCCAAGAGTTGTTTGAACAGAGGCAGACGCTCGCTTTAGCGGGCCTTCCTGCGGGGGAAGGGATGGGGGAATGTTCTCCCCCCTGGAAGGGAAACAGCCTCTCTTCCTCTGTGCTTGAGCGCCCTCTTCTCTCTCTATAAAGGTTTCCTTTTTATAAACAGGAAGGTGCCTGGTCATGGGGGGGGAGGCGGATTGAGCAAAGGAACTCTGTTTTTTTTTGTTGTTTTTTTTTTTTTTTTTTTTTTTTTTTATGATAGTCATACAGAGAGAGAGAGGGAGAGACAGGCAGAGGGAGAAGCAGGCTCCATGCACCGGGAGCCCGACGTGGGATTCGATCCCGGGTCTCCAGGATCGTGCCCTGGGCCAAAGGCAGGCGCCAAACCGCTGCGCCGCCCAGGGATCCCCGAGCAAAGGAACTCTGGAGGGAGTTTGAGGGGTTTTCTTTTGAAAGGGGAGCTTCTGAGCTCAGGTTTTCTTCAGAAAACTCCAACTGTGATTGGGACTAGGATTTGCACACCACTAGAAATTAACTGCAACAGCCGCCTGCCCCACCAGCCGGGGGTAAAGGGGCCAGGCTCGCAGTCTAGGGTTCTGATAACACCCCTTGAGCCCAGCAACTGTCTCCCAAGGAACAGGAACTTCCCGGATATCACCACACCAACCTTCCCAATTTCCCCCAAATGGAGGAAGAGACAGAGATGGATATTACGAGGCCAGGAAAGCCAGGACACAGATTGAAGAACATCAGGTCAGAAAGGCAGTGAGAATTTGAATCCAGGTAGCAGCCCACCCTCCCTTCCCCACACCCCCACTCCTCCCATCATGGCCCTTGGGGTGCTGTGGGCTGCAGGCCGGTGGGTGAGGAGCTGGACTGACTGGCACAACTTCCTGTGGTGGGAGAGGCGGCCAGGAATGGAAGAAGGAGAGGAGGAAGAGAGATGTGTTTCCATCCTGATGGTTTTCTCACGTCCATGCCCACCTCCCCCCAACTTTTTGGAAACCTGTTCTGCTCTCCCCCACTTTGCTTTAGGGCTAGCCGTCCATGGCCACAGCCACAGCCCTTGGGCCGTGCCAGGCCTGTGCCTGGGGAGTTGCTACCTCTCTTGATTTCAGGATTTTGTGCCTTCAATGGGATAACTTCTGAGGTATTCTCAGGGGGCAACTGGAACGAGCCTGCCTGGCAGCTTGGCCAAGCCTTGGTTACGAGCGAGTCATGTCTACGGGATAGTAAAAATAGACCGCAAACAAACGTACGGCCCTTTGCCTCTGCTCTCGCGCCTCTGGGGGTCCCGTGAGACTTGATTTTCCCAGATTCCCTTTGACTCCCCAACTCCTTGCCATAGGACACCTGCCCTCCCCACTCCAGGTTGTTCTAGGTTCTTCTCACCTCCTCTTCTCACCAGAGAGCGCCTCTGGCAGGAAAGCTGACAAAGCAATTAACAGCCTGGACAGCTCATTAAATACTAGAGCTGAGAGGTGCTAAATTTTCTCCAAGTGCTCAAGGGCAACCGCCTGTAGGTCGTTCAATAGGCAAGATCTGTTTCAAGTGCTGGTCGGGGAGCTTAACCCCAGCACCTGCGGTCCTGACCCAGCCGCCCTCCTGCCATCCCGCGCCCAGGCCCTGGCCTCGGCTGCCGCATGGAGTCACCTGTGCGCCGCATGCTTAGCCCGCTCAGGTCTCTGCTTTAAGGAGCCCATCTCCTGGCAAAGCGCCCGAGGCTGAGTAATTCCTGGGCAGCACCCAGGATGGGGTGGTATGGGGGTAGCCAGGGGGAGGAGGAGATGTCGTCCTCTCCTGGGGGACTTCACAAAGATTGTGTACAAATACGCAGAGGGAGAAGGGGGGGGGCAAGAAGGACACACAGGCCCCGTCCTTGGCAAACCTCCTCGTGTTTGTGTGATGCTAGAAGGGCAGCAGGTGCAGGGGAGGGCACGAGGGAGAGGGGAGAGGAGGACTTAACCGGGGAAGGTTTGTGGCCTCCAACAAGCTTTGAACAATGCTTGACAGAAAGAAAGAGATTCAGATTCAGGGGAGATTAAGTGACCTCAAAACAAGGCTCAGGCAGCAGAGGGGGCCTTTGATTGGAAGGACTAGAATAAAGTCCTTGGAGGTATAGGGGCTGGGATAAAATTACAGCACCACGAAAATGTTCCCTCTGTAGATCTGACCTAGGAGAAGAATGAGCCAGAAAGGCTTCACATTTCAGGGAAGGACTTAGGATCATAAGACCCCCCTGCCTGGTGCCCGAGGGCCTGGTGCCTGTTGTGTGCCTGTTGTGAGCACACTCATGCACGGTGGACAATCCAATGTATGGATTCTTCTGTGGGTAGGGCCGTGGAAGCAGCAAGTCACGTGCACACGTGTGCTGCAGGTGCCGAGGGGGAGCTGGGTGTGAAGAGTGAGGGGAGAGGGAGTGCGTGAGCTCGTGTGAACGGCCACGGAGGACAGTGGCCAGAGGGGATGACCCTGGCACCACGCGGAAGGATCACTAATTTGAAAGAAGATTGTTTGGAATGTCAGACAGAAGAGGGGCAGCGCTGGACCTCTGGGTCCCCTTCCCGGGAAGCCCCCTTCCTGCCTTTGCCTTCAGATTCCCACCACGGCTCCCTCCCTGCTTCTCCTTACAGCTCAAGCATCCCGGGCCATGCACCTCTGCATGCACCGCCCTCCTCCCTCACCTCTGTCCCTCCCTTGCCTCCTCCACCCACATCCCCTTCCACCCCGCCCCAGAGCTGCGGCCTACAGAAGGGGCAGACCTTTGACCTTGGCGCCCAAGGAGGAGCACAGCCCCCACCCCATGGAGTGCAGGGTTCCTGCTGTGAAGGCCATCCCCACCTTGCTCCTGGCCCCATATAGCTGGTGGGCTGATCTCAGAGGAGCACGTGCGTAGCCGTGCACCTCTACTGGAAGGTCCATCTCCCTCCTCCTTCCTCTTGACACATTCTCCCATCGCCAGCTCCTTCTCTCTGGCCTTGCGATTCTTCAGGCCGCTGGCTGAGCGCATCTCTTTCCACTGCCTCTACCATCCCCTTCAGCCTCTTCAGCTGGTGCCTGCAACCCTCCTGGCTTCGGAGGACGGGTGGGCAAGAGGTCATCTGCTCAGGGGCACAACAGGCAAAGGTTGTCAAGAAGATGCCCCGGTTTCCTCCATTCCTCCCTCAAATATTGGTGAATTGGGCTCAACAAGGGAAATCCATCAACGAAGAAAACACGCATATGGTTGATTCATTCTCCACAGAGCCTTCAGTCTAGCAGAATAATGCTCAAAAATAACTGCTCAAATATAAAATGATAAACTGTGACGTCAGGAGATCCTGCACCTACAGGTGCATCCAGAATCTGACCACCACCCACCCACAGCTCCACTGCCGCAGGATGCTCCGCGGCATCTTCATCTCACTGGATTATTACAGGGGCTGCTCGTCTGGTCTCCCTTCTTCCACCTTTGTCCCTCTGCAGTCTGTTTCCAACCCAGCAGCCAGAGTGGTCCTTTCAACATGTGAGCCAGATCTTGTGATCCCTCTACTAAGAACACCGCAGCGGCCGCCCATCTTAGAGAAAAAGACTGGTCGTTATCATGGCCAATGGCCCCATAGGATTAATGACCCCTCACCTCTCTGATAAAATCTCCTTCCACTTTCCCTCTGCTCAAGCCAGTCCAGGCTAACAGCCTCCAGACAGTAAAAGTGATATTTAAATCTGGGTCCGTCTGATTCAAGAGTCCATGACCCTCCACTAACAACATTATCATCCCTTTTTCACAAATGAGGAAACAAATGTTCAGTAAGACTAAGATGAGGCTGGAGTCACATGACTAAGAATCCTATCACTGCGGATTGTATCTGTCGTTATCTGCATAATTGCAAATCCAGGATGGACCCCCTACCACTTCTCCTAGAAGACAAGTGTCCACCAGTGTAGACCAGGAAACAATCCCATTGGCAATTCAAGTCACTTCCACCGTACCAAATTCCCCTCAATTTTTAGTTCTATTGAGCTGTGGTCTTGGTCCTTCCAGCATAAGATCATTTTTAAACGGTCTCAGAAAATCAGCCAGGAAATGAAAAGTTTTCTTCCTTTAAATTCTCACGCTACCCACAATGCAAAGATAGTTTTTTTTTATCACCACAGTTTTTGTAAATAAAGCTGAAGCGGTACCCAGGAAGTTTGAGATCGTATCATCTGGTCCAGAGCCTCCTTTGGAGAGGTCCCCAGGGCCTGGTGCAGGAGAAGCCAGTGAAATCCTTCACTCTATCTATGGTCAGTGGACTTGCCGTAGGGGCACAGAGGAAAGCCCATCAGACAGGGTAACCTGGAGACAACCAAGAGGCTCAGGGCACCATCTCCCACTCATGTGAGTCAGATCACAGCCATGCAAAGAGAAGAAATGGGCAAGAGGGTCCCGGAGAACTTTCTCTAGGATAGAGATGAACACCAGGGTTACCATCTCCAGGGTGGACACAAGACTGGACCAAGAAGGGACCCTCAGGCTCCTGGATCCATGCAGCCATCATGCTGGTGCTCTGGCAAGTGGTTCCTGATTGAGTTCCTCCAGGGGCACAAAGCAGTCACCAGGCAATAAATCCCTCTTCCGCCTTGAGCATTAATGAGAGCCAGCCGGCTCCTGTCAATCTCCCAGGAGCAAGCATCTAACAACCTAGGCTGACAGGTGGCCCCCTGGGATACGGTCTATAGTGGAGCCCAGGGACTGCCCGGGGCATTTTCCAGAATTAACTGCAGGGAGGGTGGGAGGTGTGAGAGTCCCAGAAAAAGGAAGTGGGGACGTGAAGGGGAGGCACCCAATCTGGGTCCCAAAGTCTCTTGATGCAGGCTGGGCTTTCAGAAGGAACAGCACCAAAAGGTGTCACTGAGCTGAACCAGCCAAAGGGCTTTGTCACCTTTCCTAGCGACTGTGTAGCAGAAGTCCTCTGGTAGGATTCGGGTTTCCTTTTTCTCTTTTTCTCTCTTCTCAGTCTTCCTCCCACCTTCTCTCCGTCTCTCCTGTGCTTTCTCTCTCTCTCTCTCTCTCTCTCTCTCTCTCTGTCTTTTCTGGTTCTCCAGGAGGAAAGTTCCACAGGGGCAACTGGACAGGGTGGCAGTCAAGTGGACCTGATCTCTCTCGTTTTATAAATCAGAAGCCCACGTTTTGAGGGGCAAAGAGGCTTGTCTGCCTGGCTCCACTCCCGGCTCTGCCACCCACCGTGTCAGGTAAGGCTCACTCGTGACCTAAACTCACTTCACCTCTCAACGTCTCAGGTCTCCTCTCTGTAAAACGGGGATAAGATAGCTGTGAGGTTGAAGGTGTCCATGGGTGTAAGAGCCCGGGGCAGGCGGGGGCGGGGGCGGGGGGGGCTCTGGCACCAAGTCAAGGGTCTGGGTTACTGACTCCTGGTGAAAGTCTTCACGTCCATCATTAGATTACTGATTACTCCATCACTCACTGGACTCGGGCAGCAGCTCACACCTCCTGGAATGTTGAATTTAATCTTTGGAAAGGGAAACCGAACATTTATTTGGAGCCACGTTTGAGAAATGAAATGAGTGAGGATCAAAGATTTGATGTTTATCTAAAATAAGATCTCACTCACAGGGCTGGCCTTTCCACCCTTCGTGGAGACAAACACCTTGTGTCAACACCAAACGAACAATTCTTATAGACTGAGAATTCTCGCTCTTACTGTATGATGACTAATGTCCTTCTCTACTCAATGGTTATTTCCTGTTGTTGTTCTACTCTTTGAGAATACTTAATTACTTGATAGAGTTTTTAACACTTTGCATCTCAAATTCTGGTTGGGTAGCCTGAGCCCCTGATTGTTTTTTTCTTTTTCTTTTTCTTTTTCTTTTTCTTTTCTTTTTCTTTTTCTTTTTCTTTTCTTTTTCTTTTCTTTTCTTTTCTTCCTTCCTTCCTTCCTTCCTTCTTTCCTTCCTTCCTTCCTTCGTCTTTTCTTTTCCTTTCCTTTCTTTTCCTTTCTTTTCTTTTCTTTTCTTTTCTTTTCTTTTCTTTTCTTGATTGTTCTTTCTGAACCAGAACCAATAAAGAGAAGTCAGTTTTGACTGTCGACTGTGGCTCATTTATGTCTTCAAACATCTCCATCTATGCCCAGAATTGGGCAGGAGATTGGCTTTGATGACTGTAAGAGTTTGGTAATGATGTGGTTAGGGCTGAGACAAGGACAGGTCAGTCTGTTAATGCTACATCCCGACTCTCAGCCGTCAGCCCCTAACTTTGAGGCTATGACCGACCACGTTGTGAGAAACCACCTATATTGGTTGTGTAATTCCCAGTGAGTCCCAATCCCGTCTTGAATCGCACTGTTCCCTTTGGTTTGGGACCTCTCCCTTCCTTATCTTCCAGTTTTATTACCCAGAACCATGATAGGCATCTCCTCCCAGTCTGTCCGTTATCTCGGTTATGCAGGAGTCTCCACACACGCCCACTTAAAATCAAGTAGTGGTGGAGAGTTGCTTGTCGCTCCCCAACTGGAGTCAGGTAAATTATTTGTAGATTCTCTGGCAGCACTGGGGGCATTCACCCAACAGATGGGTGCCAAGCACTGTTCTCAACTCCGGAAACAAAACAGAATCTCTCTCATGGGGCTTCTGTTTCAAATTGAGGAGAGAACCAATAAGCAAATATATAGATCGGACCAATTCAGTCTCGATAAATGCTAGCTTCTCTGCACTGGATAATGAGAGAGGTTCAAAGCAGTGATGAGGAGTCAGCTGGGCAAGAGCCTGCACGGACACCTCCCTGCAATCCACAGTGGAAAGAGTAAAAGTAAACGTGATAATGAAGTGCCAGTATTACCAAGTGCCCATGGCTCAGTCGTCCATTCCTTCTCCATCATGGAGAGCTGCGGTCGGAGCCAACCACAGTGACAGGCACCGCCTACTGGTGACCTGACAATGGAGACTACGTCTCCCCCATCAGCTGAGAGTCTCTGGGCTGGGGCTGTGCCTCTGCCACCGTGTGTGGAAGGCCTGGGCTACCTCTCCATCAGAGGATGAGCCTCCAGAGGGCGGGAATGGTCTCCTCTCCAGTCCCCAGGGGAGGGCCCTGTCTTCAGGATTTCCTAAGCAGGCGAGTGACAGCCACCTTTGCGTCCCATGGCTGCAGCTCTCAAGGCCTTAAAGTGCGCAGCAGGCCCCAGCCTCGCTCTCTGCCCAGCCCTCAGCCCGGCCCCTGCCTGTGGTGCTTTGCTTTGGCAGGGGGCCCCAGGGCCAAGCCATGGGGCGGGGATGGGGTTTCAGCCTGAACTTTACTACCAGCTGCATGTGGCCGGGCTGCTGGGAACTTGGGAAGTTGATGCCAGAGCAAGGATAGCTGATCTCAGAGAAGGCGCCATACTGCCCTTGGAACCCGGGGCAGGGGGATTGCGTCATAGGGTCTCATCCCCATGGTACTGGTCTCAGCTGGCCAGCGGGAGCGGAGGTTCCCAGGGACAAGTCATACCCCCTCTGGGCCTCGATTTCCATCTTAGGCAAAGCAGTCCGTGAGACTGAGCTTGCCCTGGGTATGAATCCAGGCTCAGGCCCAGGGGTTGGGAGGCCCTGTCCCTGCCCTTGGAAGCCCCTAGTCTGATGTGGGAGACACAGCCCCACTCCTGGGGAGTGCCAGTCTAATGGGGGGGGATAGGTCCCGGCTTCAAATTTTTTTTTCTGTTCCAATCTAACTAATACACAACACCCAAGAGTTCTTTCTAAAACACAAATAATTATTTCTCCTCCTAAAAGCCTCTTACGGCTCCTCATGCACCCCAAAATAAAGCCCAAACTCCCCTGCAAGGCACGAAAAGCACTTTACAACCTCCCTGGGTGTGAGGTCTGCAGGGCAGGTGGGCCTTTAGGTGAAGGCCAGTGCCTTGCCACAAAGCCGCCGGGGAGCGGGGAGCGGAGCCCTCTCCTGGGGCACCGTGGGTGTGCGGGAAGGTGTCCTGGGAGGAGAGACACGCTTGGCCTTTGCAAAGCTCCAGGACTGGAGGGAGGCAGAATCTGTGTCCCTAGGACCGGCCTGAGGCACGAAGGCCCAGCTGAATTAATGTGGTCCCCAGACATGTCACCGAATACTGTATAACAGGAGGGCAGGAAGGGGCCCTGTTCTAACGGGGGGTGGGGGTTGGCGGGGGGCGGCGAGAAGGACCTGGTGCTGGAAGGACCGAGCCAGAAGGTCAGGTGAAGGGCGTCGGTTGGTAGAAAGGTCTCGGGCACCGCGAGGAGCTCAGTGGGTGAGGGCAGGCTCCTGGCGCAGAGTGCAGTTGCCGTCAGGCTTGGCCCCGACGACAAGAGCCTGAGTCAGGCTGACCTGCGGGCCTCCCGGGGTTCTTGGGGCTCCCGACGCACCCACCCTGTCGGCCTCCCGTCCCAGCCCAAGGCGGCTGGCTCCTCTGCCCCAGCTCCTCGCTGCCTTCTGGACTCAGTTTCTCCACCTGGGGGGGGGCAGTCTGACAGAGCACTGGGCCAGATTCCAGGAATCAGGACGGCCTCCCCGTCCCCCCTTCTGCCAGCGTGACGCCCCTGCTGCGAGGCCCACCGCGGTCAGGGCCCCGGACGCCACGAGGGCTCTGGGGAAAGATGGTAGGAGGCGTCTCCTTTCCACTCAGCTTGCCACCTCTTCCCACAAGGGCTGTCGCTGGGGGGGGGGCGGGGTGGGCAGCCAAGGACTCGGGGCTGGGGCGACTTGCTGGGAGTTGGGAGGACTGGTGAGGGGTGACACAGAGCCTTTTCTGAACCCCACAGACTCCCTGCCCCTCCTGGCTCCTGCCCTGGGCAAAGCCCCATGCGGGCGGTGGCAGGTGCTTTGAAGGCCTCCAGGGTTACCTCCCAGCGAGCTTTCCATGCGGTCATGGGAGAGACACTGATAGGAATGAACGAGATACTCCTTTTGTATTTTTTAAAAAAGATTTTATTCATTTATTCATAAGTGGTACAGGGGGAGAGAGAGAGAGAGAGAGAGTGGCAGAGACACAGGCAGAGGGAGAAGCAGGCTCCATGCAGGGAGCCCGACGTGGGACTCGATCCCGGGTCCCCAGGATCACACCCCGGGCTGAAGGCGGCGCTACACCGCTGAGCCAACCGGGCTGCCCTCCTTTTATATTTTTAAAGCACAAATCGTGTTCATCCCCAGATCACGTTACCAATAGGGCACCAAGAACTAGTCATTTTTACCAACCCTGTAATAATCTGTAAAGAGCATGATTACCTTGCACGGCACTTTGTGTCTATGGTTAAGAAGATTAAGTAGCTGAATATAAGTATTTAAAATATACTACTCATATTTTAGTCCTGTTTTATTATTTTCTTCCTTTAAAAAAAATACCAGAAGGGCACCTGGATGGCTCAGTGGTTGAGTGTCTGCCTTGGTCCCAGGGTGTGACCCCGGAGTCCTGGGATCGAGTCCCACGTCGGGTTCCCTGCAGGGAGCCTGCTTCTCCCTCTGTCTGTGTCTCTGCCTCTCTCTCTCTGTGTGTCTCAAATAAATAAATAAATAAATAAATAAATAAATAAATAAATAAATAAATAAAATCTTTTAAAAAAAATACCAGAAGGCTCAAAAAATGCCAGTGGTTGCGCCCTTCTCAACATCTGAGAGGCCCTGGTCTATCTTTTGAAGATAAGAGGTTCGTGGTCAAAAGAACGCAGCCATGAAAGCTGCAAAGTGTTAGATTATATTTAATTTTTAAAGTTCTGAATTGCTGGGCCAGGAGGCAGAAGTGTGATGGCGTCAGAGGACCTGCTTGACATTCCTACCCCGTCATTTACTAGCTGTGTGACTGTGACCCTGGTGTCGGGCCGTTCTTAGCCTCAGCTTACTTATCTGTAAAATGGACATAATAAGGATCTACGTCCTAGGGCTGTTATGTGGCTAAACAAAACAACCCACATAATGATGTCCCGCAGGATCTCGGGACCCCCATGTGTGCTGTAATTTGCTGTGGTTCGATGACAGCAGACGGTGTCTCTGTAACAGAGGCAGCTGTATGAAAACGCAGCCCGAGGAAGCAGAGCAGGTTCGCCTCCGCGAGCAGGACTTGTTTATTCGCCTCCTCACCATCTGACTGATAGCTCAGCGAAGCCGCTTTCTGGAATGACTTGGCAATTGGGACTTCTCCCCAGTTCAGCGCCTTTTGACAGGTCATGCTCCTCTCCATTAACAGCTAGTAATGTGTGGACCTACCCTGCCTCCCTCCTTTGCAGAGAGGAGCCCTGAGGCCGGGAGAGAAGCCCATCTCCGGAAAGAGGGAGGCAGAGTAGATCCACAGATTGCTAGTCGTGAGGACTGCAGATTTAAGAGTTAATACAAAGACCTAGAAGAATGTCTGACACGTAGCAAGAGCTCTGTAAGAGTCCAGTACTGCTGTTGGCATTGTGTTCTGCTGGATGCTCTCAAAGGTCCTGTCCAGCTCTGATCTTCTGGAAGGTTCTGCATGGCCCCAGTAGACCAATGCCCATTGTGGCCTGAAGCCTCCTGGAAACTGGAGCGGGGACTCCTCCTGCCCTCTGTTCCCTGGGGGACAAGAGGGCCCCCTTCTGTGACCCTCAGGTCAGCGGGGTCTCCTGGGCTCGACCCTCTCAGATGAGAGACTTAGCTCCTGACACACATTTCTCTGATGATGAAAGCTGGCTTTGCAAGCATGAAATTGCCCTTTGGGTCTCTAAGATCTTCGTTTCCACGGGGCACATTTGCTACCTGCAGGTGCATGAGAAAGACATGAACTAAGGCTGACCCGTAGGCTGGGCTAGAGGCAGGAAGGCTTGAGGGCCAGGCAGGCAGCTGTGCAGGGGTGGCGGCGGCGGCGGGGGGGGGGGTGTCTGAATGTTGCTGACGAAAGGGCAGCACTGAGTGTACCCCAGGGAGGCTGCTGTGAAGCACAGGGAACGGTACTGTGTGTCCCCACCCCACTCTCTCAGTTCCATCTTCCTGGGCCAGGACTGGGAAATAGATTCTTGGGCCCTAGCTCTAAGCTCAGAAATGGGTCAAAATTCCTGAAGTCGTCCCCACAGGGCAGCAGGCAGCCTTCTACCTTTTCAGAGAGTCCAGCTCTGTCAGTGACGTTGTGTGTGTGTCTTTGAGCAGAACCATGCCCTCCCAATCCATCTACCTGGACCTCCGTGGGAACAAGAGAGGACATGGTCCCATGGAGAAAGTCTTCAGGGACACTTGCCCAGCTAGAGCAGAGCTGTTTTGCACACCAACACATAGAGACCGTAGCAGTCTGTAAATGAATTCAAATTCTCTCCTGAGTCACATGAAATTACCCTGCTTTCCGAGTATGCGAGGCCTTGCCATGGAACCTACTCAGCAAGTCACAGGGCTCTAGAAGATTCAGATTGGCCAGGATCTCATGGATCATCCCACCCGACCCATGCATGCCATGGGGAGTAAGGGGGCCCCTAGAGGGAGGCCTGTATGGGGCCCAAGCCTCTTGGCTCCTGCCATACAATAATGCATTTCCCTCTTGTGGGGACAAGGAAGCAATCACAAATTGCGATCATTTCACTACCCAAAGTCGTTGAGCCCTTCCCATAAGTCACTGTAAAAGAATGAATATGCACAAATCCTGCATATTCATGACATGGATATTCCCCTAACAACGAAGGCCCAAATTCATCCTTGTATCTCCCAGAAAAAGTCTATGAGAAGGTATAATAAGGTCACATCATGGAGAGACGTAGTGTGAACATTTTACCACTGGATAAAACCTGGGCCCTGGGGAAGATCACTGGGCATCAGAAAACTACTGTTGGCCTGAGTGGTAGGTAGCCAGAAAATTCCCTCAAGGGGCTGTCCTTTGACCCATTTTCATTGCTTGGAGTCCTGAAATTTCCATCTTATTGCAATGAGAGCGATGCAAGGATGGTACAAAGCAGAGCAGGGAGGCAGGACGACTGTGGTCTTCTCGCCATCCCCAGGCCTCAGGGAAGAAGCTACCAGCTACCTGGAGGGCCATGGAGGCACCTAATATGCTGAAGGGCTGTGTATGGGCCATGTTCCCAGCCTCCCTCTTCCCCTCCTGGGACGCTGGAGCATTGTGGCTCAGAAGGCCCCCTGGAGCCCAGAGCCCCTATCATCAGAAAGAACACCTTGGCTTTATTGGACCAGGCTCCTGGGAGCTGAACTCCTGCCTCCCACTTCCACTCTCCCCCATTCCTTTCTACCTGCACCAGAGGCAGTTTCTAAAACTGCAAACTGGATCCTGTCTCTCTTTACACTTAAATAAACCTCAATAGCCCTTAGGACAGAGATCAAAATTCTCCAACGGCTTCTCAAGCCCACCTGTCCACACTCTCCGCTCGCGGCCTCCCGCCCCAGGGCTCCCAGCTCCAGCTCTACCGGCCCCCTCCTGGTTCCCTCGGAGCACATGCTGCAGTTTGTAGAACTGGCCAGTCGGCCCGCGTCTGACCCGTTAGACTGCAAGCTCCACGAGAAGGAGGCCTGGTCCTTTGCTTCCCTTCCTTTATGTTCCCAGCGCCTAACACAGTGCCAGACCCAGGACCCGACACAGGGTAGGCGTTCAACACCAGCCTCTGACACCTAGGGTGAGAGACACACAGGGGAACACGCAAATAGATGCACACGCGCGCATACACACCCACACTTGTGCATGCACACACCCCAGAGTGGAAGGGGTCAAACACCTCCCTTCTCAGAACACACGCAGAGGTGGCTCCAACACAACTGGCAGTGTGCTCGTGTGCTAATGAGTCCGTGTACGTATCCAGGGGTCTCCCTTTGAAGCCGACCGGGTGACCTTCTCATCTCATCTCCTGAGCTTTGCTTCCCCTTCACTCTCCTTAAGAAAATCTAGTAGCAGCTATCCTGTCCCCACTTCCCATCTTCCATCCACACGTCCTCAAAATCTGCCTGCCACCTTCAGGCCCCAGCCCGGTGGGCCGAGCCCCCGCCCCCCCCCTTCTATCCCGAGAAAGCTCACATTCCCCGAGAAGGCCTCCTGGCTGCATGGCTTCCAGGGTCTCCTCCTGCCCCACTCTCGCAGGAGAGTGCACCCCCACAGTAGAGCCTTTGGGATCTTGCTCTTCTGTGTGGTTCCCAAAACCTGTTGCCTGTTTGCTGCCGCTCTGGGTTGTGATTCCCAAGAGGGCAGTGGCTTCATGTATTTGTGTGACTTATGATGTCAAGGGTCTCAAGGGATCAGCTTAGCTGCAAAATTAGGGCTTTGGATGAAGTACCCCATCCCTGCTAAAAAGGGTCATCTAAATGAGGCGACGTGGAACAAACTTAACCACGCCAATCTAGTTAAGAGCTCCCAGCTTTGCAAACCGAGGAGTTGGATGAGCTAATGTCACAGGACCCTTCCATCTCTGACCTCCTCAGAGGCTAGGGCATTAACCGCCGCCGAGGGGGCTGTCCTGCCAAGCCTGGGCTGGAGCAGGAGGCGGGAGGCGGGCAGTGGGAGGGGCCGAGGAGCCTGGGGAGTCCGCGGTGACCTACATCTGCTCCCGGCACTGCCCGTCCACCAGCAGTCCATTCAGAGGCCCCAGCAGTGTGCAGCAGCGGGAACAGGGAGGAGGGAGCACTCAGGAGGCTGGACGTGGGCAGGGCACCCAGGTAAGTGGGCACCGTGCACCCGGCTACCCACCCAGGGCAGAGCAGGGCAGAAGGAGAGATGCGGGAATGCTCTCTAACCTCTCTACTCAGGAAGGGGCAGCGGTGGGCATGAGGCGCAGCCCCATGGGTGCACGCACAGTACCCTCTAAATGACTCCAGGATATTTGGAAGAGACAATTTCATTGAGTCCTGTCCAGCGGCTCTGTCCTGGCTCGGGTCTTCCAGGCACAGTTTGGCTTAGCGTGTGGAAGGATGACCAGGTTAGACACCTGGCTAGCCGTCCAGAATAAGGACCTCCGGCCTGGGACTTGTTCCATCTTGATTAATAACCTGGTCGAAGCAGTTGAGACAAACCCCACTCGGTTCTTCCTGCCTCAACCCTACCAGTTTGGAAGGGGGGGCAGCAGCTGCCCGGAGGGGCAGGTGGGGCGGGGCCCGGGAGCCTGGGGGCCAGGGGGACCGGGACCACTGCCCGGGGCGCCAGGGCCCAGAGTCGTGGCGGGACAGGCTGAGTGAGGACGCGGCTGCTGTTTGGTGCTGAGAAAAATTGGGATTTCTTCTCAAAAGAGGGAAGGAACCATGAGGAGAGAAATCACTTCCTTCCCGCTCCCTCTGATGGAGACCACATCCCCCTACCCTCCAACCCTCCAGCCCTCCAACCCAGCCCATCTCTCACCCGCTGGTCACTAACCTTGCCCCGGATCTGGCTTCCTGAAGAGAGCAGAGGTCTGGGGGGCAAGTGGCTTCACATCAGGCCCCTAAATTCCTGTCTGGAGTGCTTCTCTGTCCCTTCTCAGCTGGGGCCTGTGGGCACAAGGGGGGGGGAGCAGCGGGGTGGGCAGTGCGCTTCAGGAGTGGGGGGCAGGCGGGGCGCCTGAGAGCCACGAGGTTGGGAGGATGACCAAGGGGACAGCCAGGTGTCGGGCTAAGTTCCAAGTCACTGCAGGTGCCCAGGACCTGCGGGGGGGGGGGTGGGACGCAGCCTCCTGCAGGCCCCCCACAGGCCCCCATGCACCTCGCAGCCCCTCGCAGTCCCTGCGGACTCCAGAGCCCCCGCAGGCCCTCTGCAGACCCCCGCAGGCTCCCGTGGACCCCAGAGCCCCACCGCAGGCCCCCGTAGTCCCCCGCAGACCCCACAGCACCCCCCACATGCCCCCCACAGCCCTCGCACAGGTCCTGCAGGCCCCGGCGGCTCCCGCAGACCCCGCAGACCCCCGTAGGCTGCCTCACAGGCCCCAGCAGCCCTCCACTGATCCTGTAGCCCCCCCACAGGACCCCGCAGTCCCCCCGTGGCCCCTGCAGGCCCCCCCGCAGGCCCCAGCAGTCCCCTCCACCTCCCTCCAGCCCCCTGCAGTCCCCTCCAGCCCCCTGCAGCCCTCTGCAGGCTCTGCAGCCCTCCGCAGCCCCCCGCAGCCCCCGCCAGCCCCTTGCAGGCCCCCCCGCAGTCCCCTCCAGCCCCCTGCAGCCCTTCGCAGTCCCCTCCAGCCCCCCGCGGGCCCCCAGCCCCCCTCAGGCCTCTGCAGCCTCCCCGCAGTCCCCTCCAGCCCCCCGCAGCCCCCCGCAGCCCTCCGCAGCCCCCCGCAGCCTCCACAGCCCCCCGCAGCCCCCCGCGGGCCCCCACCTGCGTGGTCAGCTGCTGTCTGCCGGGGGCGGGGGGGGGGCTCCCCGTGGCCACCCCCGCCGCCGCCGCCGCGCAGCCCGCCGGGTGACCGCCCCAGAACGCGGCTGGCGCGCCTGGCATTCCAGCGCCGGGCGGCCGTGGGGGCCACCTGGGGCGGGCGGTGGGGCGGGCGGTGGCAGCGGGTGGGCGGTTGTGAAACCCGTCGGGTGGGGGCAGGTGCTCTCCTGTGACCCCGTCGGGAACACGAGGCTCCGGGGCAGCCAACCCGGCCTCAAAATGGAAGCCGCTGGCCTTGGGCCCGCGCAGGATGGGCCGGGATGCAGGCGCGCGGGGCACAGGCGGCAGGGCCCTGCGCTCACCTGACGCCGTAACTCACGGGCCGCCCGAGGGGCAGAAGGATTTATGAGGCGCCTGCCAGGCCGCGCAGCCAGCGCCGGAGCAGCCAGCGAGGGGATTTCCCCAGACCCGGTGATAGAAGGGTCCCAGTTGGTTGCCAGCGGGGGGCAGAGCCTGCGGGCGCTGCTGGGCCGCCCGAGCTGGGGCAGAGCCAAGGCCCCACACATCCCTGGAAAGCCGCCCCGCGCCCCCCGGGAGGCCGCTGCACATGGCTGAGCATCTCCTGAAGTCTGGGGAGGCTGAGCCCCAGCCGCCGGGGGGCCCTGGGGCCCGGGGACCCCCCGAGGGCCACCACCCGCACAGGTGGCAGGTTCGGCCCGGGGTCTTGGTGACCCGGGAAGGGTGCAAGCGGGCACCCGCCCACCCTGCCCTGTGTCCCGGAAGCCGGCTTTGCCTGGCGTGACTCGCGGGACCCCATCAGTGCCGCGGGGGGGGGTTAGACCGCTGCGCCCAGCTCCCCTGCCAGAGACGGGCCGGGCACCGACGGGGCGGGCGCGGCGGGAAGAGCGGCCTGCACCTCCCTCAGCCGTTCTGTCTCTGTCCCCAGGAGATCAGCCGCGGCGCCCAGTAACGGAGGAGGCACCTGCACCATGGCAGGTGAGAGACGAGCTGACCCCCTCCCTGCCCTCGTCCCTCCCTGGCGCTTCCAATGGGGGAGGGGCTCAGAGATTTGCAGAACTCACCCATATCTTTGTTTTTTCCAGTCGTAACTGTGGGTTTTACCTTGTTTTCCTAAATGAAGCGTGCACAGCCCCCCGCGGAGCCCCTTCCCATTCTCCTTTCTCCAGCTTGACCGCGGTGACGCTGCCAGGCCCTGGGAGCCCCCTGCCTACTGCTCAGGGGCTCCATTCACACTGCCTGATTCCACTAGAAAGTCGCAAAGCCCTGCTCACGGGCAGGAGCTCTGAGACACAATCCTGCCCAGTGGTGGGATAGTGGGGGGGGGCCCACGTTCCTTGGGTGCATGTGCGTCAGGGCTCTGTTGTGTTCAAGGGCCACCCTTGAGGAAGAGTAGGGAGGGCTCATCTCGCTTTCCCCACCGTCTCCAGGGAAGCCCGCCAAGAAGTCTTCCCTTTATGGGGTGAGCATCCGGCAGCTGGTGGACGAGATCCCCGAAGGCTGCAGCACACCAGACTTCCAGCAGAAGCCCGTCCCCATGGCGCTGCAGGAGGGTGAGCCCCGGGGGGGCAGCTGCTGAGGGTGTCACAGCCTGCTTCCCAGCCCCCACGCCCAGCACCAGGCCACACCGTGTCTCCCTCTGTTTGGGGGGTGCCTGCCTGCGGGGGTCCCCAGAAGGGCCAGGGACCTGAGGGGCAGAACGGGCGTGGGGAGTGAAGACATACTATGATATGCTGAAGCAAGAAAGATCCGGGAACCAGGGTGGGCGATGCGAACTGGGGAGCAGGAGAGGTGGTGGTGTTCCCTCACCCCCTCCTCTCTCCCGGCCTCCGAGCAGCCGCTGTAGACACTGTTAAAATGAGGTTCATTTGGGCCGCGTGAGAAAAGTGCCCAGGCAAGTAATGGGAGCAAAGGCCTCTGGGGGAAGGAGTGAGAATTGGGCATTCTTTCCCCATCACGGGTTCCTACAGTACCTTTCAGTTGACATCATCCTGGTATAAAAGAAAGCACGGCGCCTTATTTTTCTAAGTCTGACTCTATGTCCCCACTCAACGAGGTCATGAGAGATTGTCTGTCATCACTGGGAAGGGCCCTTGGGTCTTAACTCTGCGCTGCTCCCAGTAGAGGGGCTCCTGGTGGGAGCCCAAGAGATTCCCGAGGGTAGGCAGCTCCCAGCCTTCCATGCCAAAGATGCGGCTTGGGCTCTTTTGTGAGGCTGGAACCCTGTGTCTCAGGATCATCCCGCCTCGAGGGTAGACATGGGACCCCCCCCACAAAGGTGCATCCCCTTCCCAGTCCTCAGAGAGTCCTTTAGACTCCTCCCTCGCCCACTTGCAAAGAAACGCACCCGTCCGCCCCAAGCCCTGCCTGCCTCTCCTTCCACCATGGGCAGTCCAGCTGCATCTTGGCCTCAAGGAGCCCACACTCCGCGATGTAGAGGCCAGGCGGGGATTTGTCTTTGGGTGCTTGATAACTGCTGCTCGCCGCCTGGCATCGTACGAGTCCTTCAGTCAGGGCACCATGGCCTGTCACCCTTCTTGGAACGGGCAGTTGGAATGCCTAGAGCCGCGAAAACAACACGTTAAAGCCTCAGTAAAGCATATGGTTGGGCCTGCCCAAGCCGCCAATCCTTTGACCGCCTTTTTCCTACCACAGGGAAAAATGCCGTCCTTCGGGCCGTGGTGTGTGGGGAGCCCAGACCGGAGGTTCACTGGGAGAGCACCCAAGGGGCCCTCAGCAACTCCAGCAAGTACCAGATCTTGTCTGCCCCTGGCAGCAAGGAGCACGTGCTACAGGTCAGATCTGCAGCTCTCCCCCGACCCAGGTCTGCGCGTCTCTCCCTGTCCCCTTGAAGGTCCCCTTGGCGGCCTCCAACGGCCCAGAGCAGCAGAAGATGTTCCCAGTTGGGGTTGAGTGCACTCAGCAATGTCCTGTGGCTCCAGGTCCCCCAGCCAGGGGTGGGCCTGGCGGGCGCGCAGGTACCTCTGCTGACAACCTGACAGGTGGAGAGGCTGGAGCTTACGGACTCAAGCTCTGGAGTCTGACTTCTGGCATAGGAAGCCACCTTGGCCCTGGAAAGTTCCTTCCTTCTCCATACTTCTGTTTCCTCATCTGTTACATGGGGGAGAACAACAGTACTCGCTTGACGGTGTCATGAATATGAGAAGTTTATGTAGAGTGTCCAGCCAGCGCCTGTGCTCTAGTGAGCGCTCCGTCCACGCTGGCCGGTGTTGGCAATAGTTAGAGCTAGTGGTCACTGAGCACCTACTATGTGCTGGGCCTGGTCCTCGGGCTAAACATTTGACAGAGATTATGTGATTACTCCTGACCATCCACTTCTTTTCGAGGCATCATTACCCCCACCTTATAAGGAGCTAAGGTTCAGAGAGGTTAGGTAATTTCCCCAAGGTCCCCTGGCCCGTAACACATGGCAGAGAGGATATGCAGGCCCAGGCCCATCTGACCCGAAAAAGCCAGCTCTTTCTGCTACATCCCATTGCCTCTGCTGTTGAAGAGGCCCCCCCCCCGGAACGTTGTCCCGCTATCTGCCAATGGTACACCTGCTCTCTGTCATGATCCAGCTTTTTGTTTTGGGGTCTGACTTTCTTGACGAAGACCGTGAGCTCTACAAGGAGAGGGCTGCGTCTTATTCATCTGGATAAACCTCTCGCTGTGTTTTAGCAAGTGGAGGAAGGGGGGTGCTAGTCCTGTTCCCCTGGCCTTGGCCCCCCTGCAGATCAACAAGCTGACGGGCAAGGACACCGACCTGTACCGCTGTACCGCAGTGAACGTGTACGGAGAGGCCACGTGCGCCACCAGGCTCCTGGTCATCGAAGGTGGGCTCGTCCCCCTGCCGTCCTCCTGTCTCATCGCTGCTTGGGGTGCTGACCCTGGCTTTCTCCTCAGAGAGCCCTCAGAGGCCCCAGAGGCTGGGCAGCCGGTGAGGTGAAAGGAGAGAGGGACAGCAAGGCTGCTGTCCTACCCGGTGCCAGGGCCCTTGGCTTCAGCCACTTACATGCCAACTCTGCATGTGGTTTAAAAGCCGCACACTCAGCAGATGCCCCGCTGCAGATGCTCTGAATGATATTCTCTTAACCCCGTGGAATGAGGGCAGGACCTGGAGCTTGGTTTCTGGTCCTGAACCTTCTGCTAACTGCTTCAGTGGGCTTCGTTTTCTTCTCTGGGCCCCGGTTTCTCCAAGGTACAAAGGATACTTGGTACAGGCCCCCGTGGGAGGGGCAGACAGGTAGTAGGAAGGCCAGATCCTTTCCCAGGCAAGCGTGGGGCGGGGGGTTGTTTGTCTGTTTTGGCTTGCACCGTGTTTCCAGATTTTAAATTAATTGTTGACATACGATAACGGGAAGGTACACGTCTCTTGAGAAAAAGCAAATCTAGTCCTTCAATTGGTTATGCTTTTGCCCACGAGTAACAGAAAACCCTACTACGAATAGCCCAGGAAATAAAGACACTTGGTTATGTCACATAAGAGTCCTAGGTTGGAGTCCAAGGCTCAAGCTGCAGCTCAGGGCTGTCACGGGACAGCCAGGCTCTTCCTGTCGCACCGCGCTGCCACCTGAAGACGCTGGCTCGTAGCCTCACGGTCATAAGACCGCTGCTGCAGATCCAAACTGAATCCACCTGCAAGGGGCGGGGGGAAGAAGGGGAAATAGGTGGCCCCAGGTACATCTGGGCCTTTTACCAAGAAAGCAAAAGCTTTCCCAGAAACTCCTTGGAGACTTGCACTTACATCTCATTGGCCAGACCATGTCACACAGCCACTCCTGGTGGCAAGGGAAGCTGGGAAGGCAAGTACCAGCCAGCCACGGTCACGGAGCTCATTCTGCTACCCCCTGCCCTGCAGACCTGTCAGTGGGCCCCCTCCGCGTGCGATGATAACCAGGTCAGCTCCACCTTGGTCATGCTAGGGCTCTGGGTATCGAAGCCTGTGATGCACAGACCCTCCGCCCTGCTCATCGCTCTTGCTGAGCTCTTGCCCTTGTGGACAGTCAGGCGGACCGGGCCCTGGCACTCAGCTGGTTCTCAGGAAGGCCATCAGTGTGTCTCATTTCTCTCCCTATCTGTCCACATGAATTCCCTCCTCCTCCCGATGGTCCAGTTGGCTTTCGGAAGAGTCGGAAGAGGCACAAGGAAACCCAGGAGGGTAGGTGGAAGGGTTGCCAGACATCTTCTTGGGCTTTGGGGAATGGGCTACTCCTCACTTGGGGCTCCCTACTTGACCAAGCCCCTACCAGCACCTTATGGTCCACAGCTTGGTTGTCAACCATGGAGCACAGCTCCTCCGATTGCCACCCCACCCCCACTGCTGCAGAAAAGCCCTGCATTAGCCCGCTGGAATCCCACCCTGGGCTTGGGGCCTCATTCCTGCTCTTTTTCTAGACTTCAAGAAGGAGCTTTTGGACTGCCGAAGTCTCCTGAAGAGGAGGTGGGTCTGGGCCTGTCCAGGAGTAGGGCTGAAGGGTCCCCAGCTACATCCATGAGCCAGCGGGGCTCAGCTCTCCCGTCCACCGGCTAGGAAGCTAGACTGCAGGTCCAAGGGGAGGAAGGAAGAGAGCTGACCTGGTGGTTCTGTTGCCTTTAAGCTCTATGTCCTTGAATTAATCATCTCTCCTCTCTGGGTGGAGATTTACTCATATGTAAAATGGGGTGCTCCACCGGGATGATGATGTTTTTTTGCAGTGTTAAACTAACAGAATAATCTGCACACCACCATCCTTCTCAAAAATCCACAATACAAGGTATTAGGAGCAGAGTTTCTCCTCTGGAAGTTTGCACTGTGGGGCGAAGGTGACCCCTGCCCATCTCTGGGTCCATCGTGTCCCAACAGTGGTTAGTCCCAGAGCCCAGCACCCCTGTCCCTTTCTTCTAGTGCAGAAGCTCCCCACAGCCTCTTTGGGGGGGGTGCCGGGCCCAAGGGACCAGCCCCTGGGGCTCCCCTGGCCTCTGACCTGCCCACCCTGCTCCCCAGGGCCCCACCTCCCAAGAAGAAGGTGGACCTGCAGCAGGTGTGGCAGCTTCTGATGACGGCCGACCGCAAGGACTACGAGCGGATCTGCCTGAAGTACGGCATCGTGGACTACCGGGGCATGCTGCGCAAGCTGCAGGAGATGCGCAAGGAGCACGAGGACAAGGTGGCAAAGGTACCCTCACCCGGGCCACAGCCTGGAGCGCGGCCTAGCTCGGGGCCTGCCCTCGTCCAGCTCCCGTGCTGTGTGTGGCCGAGGACCCAGGCCCTCCAGTCAACGTTTTGGCTTTGAAATCTGGCTCAGATACTTACTAACCCCTGGGGCATTGGGAAGGTTAGGGCCTCCCCATCTTGGTCTCCTTGTCTGTAAAAAGGGCGCTATCGTTGTACCTGCCTCTTAGGATTAGTGAGACGATGAACGAGAGAATGTACTTGAAGCGCTTAGCCTCGCGCCTGTCGCCTGGCAAGGGCTTCCCGTCAGCTGTCATCATCCCCAGGCCTTGGATGCCTGTATTATTTCTAAAGGCTTCCAGTGGAGGGGATCTCACAGTTGCCCGCTTGTCCCAGTGTCCTAGAAACTGTATAGGAAGTTCCTTCCCGGGTCTAACCTAACTAGTCTAATTTGTCTAATTTGTCTTCTGGAGATGCAAAACAACGAGTGTTCATCATCTTGAAAATAGTATCTTATCACCTTGAAGGTGGCTCATCCAACGTCCCGGGACTCAGTTTTCTGTCCTCCGAGCTTTCTCACTGCCTTAACATAGGGCTTTGCACACTTTAGGGGCTCAACTAATTTTTGTTGGCTGGAACAGCGTATGAACAGAAAGGCCCTGCCATGTTCTCAGAGAACCCGGACACCTGGGGCTCTTTCCCACTTGGCTTCCTGACCTGATGTCACATCTTGGAAAATTTCTTCCCACCTGTATAATGGGCAAACGCATGCTTGAGTGGGACCTGGGGACCTGGGCTCTGAGGGTTTGGAGTGCCCCGAAGAGCGAGCTCAAAGAGCTCCCCGGTGGGGTTGTCTTCCCTAGTACGTTAATGCCGTGTCCAACCTGAGACACATCAGGGTCAGCAAGGAGGGCGTTGCAACCTTTGATCTGGAGCTGGATCTCAAGTATTCCGGGAGCAACATTTACCTGTGTAAGGTGAGGCAGGAGGAGTCATTGAGGAGGGAGGGATCAGGGTGCAGGGACGCTGCAGGGATGCTGCAGGTCCCGGGGTTGCGGGGTGGGGGGAGCTGTGGGTTCCGTGGATTCCCCTCTGGTAGCAACTCAAATACACCGATGGTGAGTCCTGTGTCCCCTGGAGTTCCTGGATGGAGTGAGGTCCAACTTGGTGTAGACATTTCACAGAGTCCTCTCACCTCTCATGGAGCAACCAGGTTCTCTAGCCAGGCAGGGGGTGGGGGGTGGGGGGCAGGGGGGGCGGGAGAAAGTGCACCCCCCCGCCCCTGCATCCATTTCTTTGCCCTAGCTGGTCCTGCTGCCTGGCCTGGTCTTCCCCAATACCCACACGGCTAATCCCCTGACCACCCCGTGGTGACACTCCCAGTCCCCCAAGCCCCATCCTGTGTTCCGGACTCTGTATCCTCCTCTCTCTTCCCCCCCCCCCCATTCTATCCCTTTCTAATCTACGTTATTTTATCTGCTTGTGATATTTGTCATTTGTCTGTGTCCCTTGTAGAATTTTAGCTCCCTGGGGAGGGGGGGTGGCAGGAATCATCTTTGTTTTAGTCCCTGATGTCCCCAAGTACCTAAAGCAGTGCCCGGCCCACAGTAGGCAACCGAGGGTTATTGCTCATCTCCAGCAAGTGGCAAATCTATCCGGGCTGGGCTCTAGCTGACGTGGCGTGGGCGTGGATTACCGGGTTTCCTAGAGGCCCAAAGACACCTGATAGGGCACAACTCTCCTGTTCCCTCGACAATGAATGTGCTGGGGACCCGGGCCCTTGGTGTTGCCTCCCCGCCCCCTTGGGAACCCCCCGGGGCTGCTTGGGTGGTTGCTCTATTCCGTCTGAGCTGAGGTCTCCCTCTCAGGTGTCTCTTGTGTGACACCTGCAGGTGATTTACTCCATGTAAGAGCCAGGGACACTCCCAGGGCACGGATGCCTTCACGCACACTCCGTGCTCTCAAGGCCTCTGAGCCCTGCTCTCTGCCCCAGCCCCCGACCCCCTCCCCAGCCCCTGTGGGGTTCCAGCAATATGTTGTCTGGTGCCTGGGTCCGTGGGAGAAACCTGCCCGAGTGGGGTTGGGGCAGGAGGTGCCGGGGACCCACCGCAGCTCTGAACCCCCGTCTTCCTTTCTGGGTCTCAGGATGGTGAGATGGTCCCCTACGGCTTTGACAACCAGGCCAAGCACTCCCTGCGGCGGCTGGGGAAGCGCTACCAATTCCAGATCCGGGACCTGCACCTCGAGGATGCTGGCATTTACCAGGTCAAGGTGGAGGATGTGCAAATCTTCTCCACCGAACTGGATGCTAGCGGTGGGTGCCCCCTCCCCGCCCACGGGAGAAGTTAGAGTGGAGATCCGTTAGGAGTGGGGCCCATGTCGGTGCCATGGTGGGGTGGAGCTAAACGTGATATGCACCCCCCCCCCCCCACCAAGACTGTAAGGGAGAGGAATGCACAGCCGGGTGCTTACAGTGAAATGATCTCTGCTTTCCCAAAGTCTTGGTCCGAGGTCGGTGCTCTCTTGGTGCTGAGCTGGGCTGTCCCCAGTTTCAGCCCCAGGGGTACAATGTCCCAGCCACGGCCCTTCGGAGCCACCAATCATGTCCACATTGGGTCCTTTTGGATACAGACTCTCACCTCCCACACTCCCCAGCAAGAAGCTCCACCCAGGTGCTCGGGCCGCTGGACCCCTTCCCTCCCTGCCTCCCGTGCGCCCTCCCCACCTGGGTCCCGGCCCTTCCTCTCTCATCGAGCTCTGTCCCATTGCGTGAGTGTTACCCCCACCCCCAGAGCACTTGCCCGCTCCAGAGCCCTCCTGGGAGGACAGGCGGGGCGGGGGGGGGGGGAAGCAAGCTTTGAGCAGTCGGGATGTAAAGAACATGGTTCTGAATCAAGGTTGGGGAAGAAGGAGGGCAGGAGGTCTCCAGGCCTGGAACGCCCGCCCGGACGGGGCTTTGAGGGCCGAGAAATGACGTGGGTCGAGGGGAGAGGGACAGGGGCTTTGGAGTCAGCCATCCCGGGAGGGGGCCCTGACCGGGCTGCCTCTTGGTCGGGGCAGGCCGGGGTTCCTTACTTGGGGAAGGGAAGAGCATTACCTGTGTTGGCGGTGGTCAGAGGACCGAGGAGAGAAGGTGCGGGGCGCCGCGGCCGTCAGCGTGTTGGTCTCCTTCACGTCCCCATCTCGACCCCGGACATCATCTCTGGGTTTAGGATTACAGACTTCCAGAGCCGAGGACAGGCTCACTGCTCATAACCTCACCATCACCTCCCGCTTTATGCTGGGAAGTGTCACCTGGGGGGGCAGGTGACCTGCCCAAGGTGGCACAGGACATTTGTGGCTGAGCCGGTCAGGACCTGGGCCTCTGAGCTCCCGGCCCCGCTGTGTCAGGTCACGCCGTGCCAGGCTGCCCAGCTGACGCCCCCGTTCCCGCTTCCCCGACAGCCATCCCCTCCAGAGTGGTGGTCCCGCTGGCTGAGGCCCACTGTGAAGAGCAGGGTGACGCTGTCTTCGAGTGCACTCTCTCCAGCCCCTGCCCCCACGCCGCCTGGAGCTTCCGGCACCGGCCGCTCCAGCCCAGCGACAGATACGAAGTGTCTGTGTCCCCCGACGAGCTGACCCACCGGCTGGTGGTAAGGGGAGTCCGTGTCTCAGACATGGGCCCCTACTCGCTGAGCACTGGGTTCCACGGCTCTAGCGCCTGGCTGGTGGTTGGAGGTGGTGAGTGCTTCATCCCTCTGTCTTTCCCTGTCTGTACCAAGGCAAGACTCAGGGGCGGGGGGGGGGGGGCGGCACGAAAGAGGCCAGCGCCAGGGGCTTCCTTGGGCCAGTCGTTAGCTTGAGATGATTCTTCCCTCTGAGGATGAGAAAGGCTCCTGAGACCTGTCCCTGCCCCACTGCGATGCTGGCCCTGCCCAACCACCCCAGTCCTCCTCCAGGACGTGTGCTCTGCGGGGCTTCTGCGACTCCTCTGTGGGCGCAGATCCGAGGGCCTGAGGGTCCTGGCCAGGGCTTGGCCCAGGTTCAGTAGGACGAGAAGTCCCTGGGTCAGGCCAAAGAGCTCCCTCAAACCCCCCTAGGGATTTGGGCTCAAGGTGATCCCAGGCACCTGTAAAGTGGGCATTTGTAAGGCAGACAGTGGGGCACACAGACCTTTTAAAAATCATGCAACTGGTCACGGCGGTTTGATAACCTCGTGAGTTTTAGGTTATGTATTTTTCTCCAAAAGTACTTATGAGCCACGTAGTGGGGCAGGGTGGTTGTGGGTACAGGGCTGGGGGAGGTGCTGATAGGATTCGTCTGTCAGTGGGCTGGCACGCCCTGGCTTCCTTCTGAGATGGTCAGCTTTGCTCTACTGGGGAAACTAAGGGTCATGCAAAGCAGTTGGGGTCAGACAGGTGCCTTGGCCCGGTTTAACGGGTCTTTTCTTTTGTCTCTCTATGGGGGCATTGACCTCTCACCAAAGCTGGAAAGGATAAAAGCCTTCTGACCACAAGGGCTGACCATCAGCTGCGAGCACGAGCACGAGGGGCCCGGGCCTCAGAAGCAGGAGATTCCAGAAGCATCAGTGGCGAGGGAGGGGAACTCGGAGAGCAGGGCCCCCTGGAGGGCTACCTCAATGGGGCCGGACCTGCTTCTGGGCTGCCACTCACAGCTGGCCCCGAGACAGGTGGCCTCGGTGGACATGGCTACTCCCTGATAGAGAGTGATGGGACAGATGGCTCAGCCTGGGGCCCTGGGCAGGCCAGAAAGGGCTTTCTGGAAGCAGAGGGAGGCATGGCCACTCCCTCTGGGGAAAATCAGCTCCACGCAGAGGGAGGCTGGGGCCGAAGCCTTCCGGGGAGCCCCTATCTACAGGGAGAGGGCGTGGAATCAGGGTGGGGCCTCGTGGAAGGTCAACAGCAAGATGTCGGCAGAGACAGTGATGGGGACAGACGCGGGAGGCTGGCAGGAGGCTGGGAGGCAGAGTCCAGGCACCCTCAGGTGGGAGGACTGCAGAGCAGCAGGGAAGGAAAGGAGTCCAGAGAGGACCAAGGGAGTCCCCTGCACAGGCATGGCCAGGACCGACTCTGCAGTGCTCCTTTGGGATCTGGGAGAGGAGAGACAGCCCCGAGGGGATCCCAGTCTGGTCCTGGGGGCTCTTGGTCAGAAGAGGAAGTGATGGAGATTTTGCCTGCGGGGAGCCTGGGTGAGGTGGAGGGAGGGGGGGACCTGAGCAGGGAAAGACAGAGAGGAGCCACAAGGACAGTGTGGGGCAGTGGGACCGGCCCGGGGGGAGCTGGGGACACCAGTGGGCCAGGTGGTCCTGGGGCCCGGGCGTATCCCGGAGAGAGAGCTTCTAGCTCCAAGATAGGCCTAGGCCCTGCGTCCTGGGGCCCTCGGGCAGGCAGAGGTGCTGATGATGGGGAAGCAGGGGGCTGGTGGGAGCCCGAGGAATCCCGAGGGCAGAGATCTGCAGGAAAGAACTCCCAGGAGCCCTCAAAGCCTGGTAGCAGAAAGTTCTTCCTGGGACAAGGGGGGCCTGAGGCCAAAGCTGAGGAGTGGCTACAGGCAGCCGATCAAGGCCCAGGGAGGTCAGCGGGCGGGAGGGACGGCTACCAGAGCAGCCCTGTAGGCCCAGGAGGCCCCGGGGGCTGGGAAAGGGGCCTACGGGGGCTCGGGGAAAGGGAAGGCCAGGAGACAGCGGGGGGCTGGGGCGAGGCAGGGGGTGGCTCTGGAAGCTTCCAGTATTCCCAAGGCTGGCCAGCAGGGCAGCAGCGGGGAGCAACGGGTGCTGGAAGAATGGAGTCTGAGAGCACAGGTCCTTGGGATGACACAGGGGCCAGCCTCAGCAAAAGCGGGCCCCCCCACCGGCCTGGCATGTTGGGGTCTGGAGAAGGGCAAGGTGGGGCGGGCGGTGCCCAGGAGGCTGGACTGATGGGGTCTGGTCAGGGGCTGGATAGCAGAGGCCACAGGCCAGTTGGGTCTCCAAGCCTGGGGGCTCTGGGGGCTGGGGAGGCCCTAGGAGACCCCGGACTGAGAGGTCCAGGGGCAATGGGCTCTGGGCCAGATTTCTGGAACGGATCAGGGACGCCCAGAGGGAAAAGAGGTGAGACAGGCTATGATGAGGACGGCTTAGGGGGCCCAGGAGGGATGGAATCGAGCTTTGGCGACGGCTTCGGGTATGCTGGACGAACAGGCCCTGAAAACCGCGCTGGCTACGGCGGTGCCTCGGCCGTGTCGGGGGAAATGGGATCTGCCGATGGCACGGGTCGTCGGGTTGCCTCTGGGGCACTTGGGGGAACAGAGTCTGAGGAAGGGGGTGGTTACAGGCATGGCTCGGGGGTGCCTGGCGGAACGTGGCCTGGAAAGAAAGACAGTGATGGGCCTGCAGTAAGAGGGTCGGGGAGGTTTGCTTGTCTCCAGAGTGGCTCAGGTGGCCCTGACAGAGGGCCCGCGGGTGACACCGGGATCCCCGCGGAGGCCGAGGCTGCCTCCAGAGGCCCGGGGGAGGGCGGCCCCCAGGGAAGGCATCATTCCAGGGGTGGCCTAGGGAGTCCCGGCGCAGCGGGGTCTGCAGATGGAGGTGGCTATGGGGTCTCTGCAACAACGGAGGCTCTTGGGGAGGGACACGCAGAAGCAGAATCGGGGGTCTCTGGAAGAATAAGGCCCGGGAGTCAGCCTGGAGACTATGGGGACTTCAGAGCCTCAAGGGCCTCTGGAAAAGGAGGCCACGAGCATGGCTCTGGGGAAGCAGGAGCCATGGATCCGAGGTACCTGAAGGTCGGAGGCGACGGGAATGATGGGGTTGGGAGCAGGGACCTTGGCACTAGGGCCTCTGCCCCTGGAGCCGGTCATTGGGATGGTACCAGGTTCCCCGGGGCACTCGCTCCTCATGCTGGGGATGGTTCTGGGAGCCAGGGGCCTTATGGGTCTGCTGACATGCTAGGCTACGGGGGGCCAGGAATTCAAGGGCCTCAGCAAGTTGGAAGCGGAACAGCTTATAGAGGAGGGTCAAAAGGGCTTGGGTCTGGGGGGCTGGGGCCAGCGGGGGAGGCAGGCTTTAGAGACAGCTCAGGAGACCATGGGGGAAGGGGTTCAGGTGCCAAGGTAGGTTATAAGGCTGGTATTGGGGTTTCAGGGGGAATGGGATCAGTAGACGAGGTAGACCATAGGAAGGCTTGGGGAGCTCCAGAGACAATGGGCTCAGGGGGGGAAGCAGGTCACAGGGATGGTTTGGGGGGTCCTGGGAGAACTGGGCCAGGGGGTGAAATAGGTGATAAGGATGGCTTGGGGGGTTTTGGGAGAATGGGGATGGGCGGTGAGGCAGGTTATGGGGATGGTTTGGGGGGTCCTGGGAGAATAGGGAAGGGGGGTGAGGCAGGTGATAGGGATGGTTTAGGGGGTCCTGGGAGAAGGGGGATAGGGGGTAAAGCAGGTTATGGGGATGGTTTAGGGGGTCCTGGGAGAGAGGGGATGGCGGGTGAAGCAGGTTATAAGGATGGTTTGGGGGGTCCTGGGAGAATGGGGATGGGCGGTGAGGCAGGTTATGGGGATGGTTTGGGGGGTCCTGGGAGAATAGGGAAGGGGGGTGAGGCAGGTGATAGGGATGGTTTAGGGGGTCCTGGGAGAAGGGGGATAGGGGGTGAAGCAGGTTATGGAGATGGTTTCGGGGGTCCTGGGAGAATGGGGTCAGGGGGTGAGGCAGGTTATAAGGATGGTTTGGGGGGTCCTGGGAGAATGGGGATGGGGGGTGACGCAGGTTATGGGGATGGTTTCGGGGGTCCTGGGAGAGAGGGTATGGCGGGTGAAGAAGGTTATAAAGATGGTTTGGGGGGTCCTGGGAGAATGGGGTCAGGGGGTGAGGCAGGTTATAAGGAGGGTTTGGGGGGTCCTGGGAGAATGGGGATGGGGGGTGAGGCAGGTTATAAGGATGGTTTGGGGGGTCCTGGGAGAATGGGGATGGGGGGTGACGCAGGTTATGGGGATGGTTTCGGGGGTCCTGGGAGAGAGGGTATGGCGGGTGAAGCAGGTTATAAAGATGGTTTAGGGGGTCCTGGGAGAATGGGGTCAGGGGGTGAAGCAGTTTATAAGGATGGTTTGGGGGGTCCTGGGAGAATGGGGGTGGGGGGTGAGGCAGGTTATAAGGATGGTTTGGGGGGTCCTGGGAGAATGGGGATGGGGGGTGAAGCATGTTATGGGGATGGTTTCGGGGGTCCTGGGAGAATGGGGTCAGGGGGTGAGGCAGGTTATAAGGATGGTTTGGGGGTCCTGGGAGAATGGGGATGGGGGGTGAGGCAGGTTATAAGGATGGTTTGGGGGGTCCTGGGAGAATGGGGATGGGCAGTGAGGCCGGTTATAAGGATGGTTTGGGGGGTCCTGGGAGAATGGGAGTAGAGGGTAAGGCAGGTTATGGGGATGGTTTGGGGGGTCCCGGGGGAATGGGGGTGGGGGGTGAGGCAGGTTATAAGGATGGTTTGGGGGGTCCTGGGAGCATGGGGATGGGGGGTGAAGCACGTTATGGTGATGGTTTGGGGGGTCCTGGGAGAATGGGGGTGGGGGGTGAGGCAGGTTATAAGGATGGTTTGGGGGGTCCTGGGAGAATGGGAGTAGAGGGTAAGGCAGGTTATGGGGATGGCTTGGGGGGTCCTGGGAGAATGGGGGTGGGGGGTGAGGCAGGTTATAAGGATGGTTTGGGGGGTCCTGGGAGAATGGGGATGGGCAGTGAGGCCGGTTATAAGGATGGTTTGGGGGGTCCTGGGAGAATGGGAGTAGAGGGTAAGGCAGGTTATGGGGATGGCTTGGGGGGTCCTGGGAGAATGGGGGTGGGGGGTGAGGCAGGTTATAAGGATGGTTTGGGGGGTCCTGGGAGCATGGGGTCAGGGGCTGAGGCAGGCTATGGAGATGGTTTGGGGGGTCCTTGGGGAATGGGGCCAGGGGCTGAAGCCGGCTATGGGGATGGCTTAGGGGGTCCTGGGAGAATTGGGTCAGAGGGAGCGGCAGGTTCTAAGGATGGTTTGGGGGGTCCTGGGAGAATGGGGCCAGGGGCTAAACCCGGCTATGGGGATGGTATGGGGGGTCCTGAGAGAATGGGGATGGGCAGTGAGGCAGTTTATAAGGATGGTTTGGGGGGTCCTGGGAGAATGGGGCCAGGGCCTGAAGCTGGCTATGGGGATGGTATGGGGGGTCCTGGCAGAATGAGGATGGGCAGTGAGGCAGGTTATGAGGATGGTTTGGGGGGTCCTGGGAGAATGGGGTCAGGGACTGAAGCAGGCTATGGGGATGGTATGGGGGGTCCTGGGAGAATGGGGATGGGCAGTGAGGCCGGTTATAAGGATGGATTGGGGGGGCGTGGGAGAATGGGGTCAGGGACTGAAGCCGGCTATGGGGATGGTATGAGGGGTCCTGGGAAAATGGGAATAAGGGGTGAGGCAGGTTCTAAGGATGATTTGGGGGGTCCTGGGAGAATGGGGTCAGGGACTGAAGCCGGCTATGGGGATGGTATGGGGGGTCCTGGGAGAATGGGGATGGGCAGTGAGGCAGGTTATAAGGATGGTTTGGGGGGTCCTGGGAGAATGGGGTCAGGGACTGAAGCCGGCTATGGGGATGGTATGGGGGGTCCTGGGAGAATGGGGATGGGCAGTGAGGCCGGTTATAAGGATGGTTTGGGGGGTCCTGGGAGAATGGGGTCAGGGACTGAAGCAGGCTATGGGGATGGTGTGGGGGGTCCTGGGAGAATGGGGATGGGCAGTGAGGCCGGTTCTAAGGATGGTTTGGGGGGTCCTGGGAGAATGGGGTCAGGGACTGAAGCCGGCTATGGGGATGGTATGGGGGGTCCTGGGAGAATGGGGATGGGCAGTGAGGCCGGTTCTAAGGATGGTTTGGGGGGTCCTGGGAGAATGGGGTCAGGGACTGAAGCCGGCTATGGGGATGGTATGGGGGGTCCTGGGAGAATGGGGATGGGCAGTGAGGCCGGTTCTAAGGATGGTTTGGGGGGTCCTGGGAGAATGGGGCCAGGGGCTGAAGCCGGCTATGGGGATAGTTTAGGGGGTCCTGGGAGAATTGGGTCAGAGGGAGCGGCAGGTTCTAAGGATGGTTTGGGGGGTCCTGGGAGAATGGGGCCAGGGGCTGAAGCCTGCTATGGGGATAGTTTAGGGGGTCCTGGGAGAATGGGGATGGTGGGTGAGGGAGGTTATAAGGATGGTTTGGGGGATCCTGGGAGAATGGGGCCAGGGGCTAAAGCCGGCTATGGGGATAGATTAGGGGGTCCTGGGAGAATGGGGTTGGTGGGTGAGAGAGGTTATAAGGATGGTTTGGGGGGTCCTGAGAGAATGGGGCCAGGGGCTGAAGCCGGCTATGGGGATAGTTTAGGGGGTCCTGGGAGAACTGGGTCAGAGGGAGCGGCAGGTTCTAAGGATGGTTTGGGGGGTCCTGGGAGAATGGGGCCAGGGGCTAAAGCCGGCTATGGGGATGGTATGGGGGATCCTGGGAGATTGGGGATGGACAGTGAGGCCGGTTATAAGGATGGTTTGGGGGGTCCTGGGAGAATGGGGTCAGGGACTGAAGCCGACTATGGGGATGGTATGGGGGGTCCTGGGAAAATGGGAGTAAGGGGTGAGGCAGGTTCTAAGGATGGTTTGGGGGGTCCTGGGAGAATGGGGTCAGGGACTGAAGCCGGCTATGGGGATGGTGTGGGGGGGTCCTGGGAGAATGGGGATGGGCAGTGAGGCCGGTTATAAGGATGGTTTGGGGGGTCCTGGGAGAATGGGGTCAGGGACTGAAGCAGGCTATGGGGATGGTATGGGGGGTCCTGGAAGAATGGGGCCAGGGGCTGAAGCCGGCTATGGAGATGGTATGGGGGGTCCTGGGAGAATGGGGATGGGCAGTGAGGCAGGTTCTAAGGATGGTTTGGGGGGTCCTGGGAGAATGGGGTCAGAGACTGAAGCTGGCTATGGGGATGGTATGGGGGGTCCTGGGAGAATGGGGATGGGCAGTGAGGCCGGTTATAAGGATGGTTTGGGGGGTCCTGGGAGAATGGGGATGGGCAGTGAGGCCGGTTATAAGGATGGTTTGGGGGGTCCTGGGAGAATGGGGCCAGGGGCTAAAGCCGGCTATGGAGATGGTATGGGGGGTCCTGGGAGAATGGGGATGGACAGTGAGGCAGGTTCTAAGGATGGTTTGGGGGGTCCTGGGAGAATGGGGATGGGCAGTGAGGCAGGTTCTAAGGATGGTTTGGGGGGTCCTGGGAGAATGGGGATGGGCAGTGAGGCAGGTTCTAAGGATGGTTTGGGGGGTCCTGGGAGAATGGGGATGGGGAGTGAGGCAGGTTATAAGGGTGGTTTGGCGGGTCCTGGGAGAATCGGGTCCGGGGGTGAGGCAGGTTATGGGGATGGCTTGGGGGATTCTCAGGTAATTGGGTCAGGGAGTGAAGCAGGCTATAGGGATGGTTTGGTGCCTGCTAGGGGACTGGGGGCAGGAAGTGAGGCAGATTATAGGGGAGGCTCAGGAGGACCTGAAGAAATAGGGTCAGAAGGTGAGGTGGGTTACAGAGATGGGTCAGGGAAGTTCGGAGTAACAGGCACACAGGCTGGAGTGGGATATGACGGTGGACCCAGAAGCCAGGAAGCCACAGGGCACGGGTCAAGGTACTGGACAGCGTCAGAGGGGTCTGATGGTGGCACAAGCGCCAAGGATGGTTCCGAGAAGGCCAGAGGAATGGGGCCCGTGAAAGGGTCGGCACCTGGAATGGGCTCTAGGATGGCTGGAACACCGGGCACTGCAGATGGCACAGCGTGCAGGGACAGCCCAAGGGGCCCAGACGTGCTGGGGGTTCAAGGAGGGCCACAGATTCTTTCAGATGGGCAGGACTCCAAGAAGGGTCTCGGGGGCTCCGGAACCTCAGGGGTTCCTGAGGCGGTGGGGGCTGTTGGCTCTGTGGGAAAATCAGGAGTCAGAGAGTGGCAAGGTGCTGCTGGGACCCCAGGATCTCGTGGGGACAGAGAGGCTCCCAGCAGGGAGGGCAGGTCTGCAGACAAGGCAGGTGGTTCGAGGGCTCCTGGGTTTCTCGATGGTCAGGGGGCAGTAGAGGGCGAGACCTGGGCAGGGGCAGCTGCTCTGGAATCTGGACATGAGCAGGACTTCAGGAAAGCAGGCCCAGGGACAGCAGACAGGGGTAGAGCAGCTGGCCCGGGGGGACTGGCACCTCAGGGGGAGGTGGGAGGCAGAGGGATGGGAGCGACACGGGGGGACTCAGTGGGTACAGGCCAGGTTCTGGACAGCAGCTGGATGCCTGGGGAAGGTTCTGCTGGTGGGCGAGGGGCAAGCCACACTGGGGTCCCAGGCGGGGAAGACCAGGGGTTGGGCCCAGGCAGCACAGGTGCCGGGAGTCAGGCCCCAGGCTCTGGAGCTTCCAGATCTCTGCAAGAGAAAGATGCCACTTTCAGCGGGATCCATGAAGGGCCAGAGGGCTCCGGGGGCAGGAAAGGTGCTCTGGGCCAAGAAGGGGCTGCCGGGGGTCAAGGCCCACCGTTCCTGGATAGCAAAGGCTCAGGTCCTGGAAGGCGCAGGTCTACTGGCCCAGGGGACTCAGGCGTCCTGGATAAGAGGGATTCTAGTGACAGGGAGAATGGCCTCCCCCGAAAACCTGGGGATCTAGGACCTCAGGGAGCCTGGAATGGCCTCGATGGTACTTTTGGCAGAAAGGACTCTATGGACAGGTCAGGGGGCGTCCAGAGCCTGGACTTCCAGCTAGACAAAGGACAAAGAGGAGATAGAGGGTCCCTGGGGCATCAGGGGTCCCTGGGGCATCACAGATCCCTTGGGGCTGAGAATGACAAGGCCCAGGGTCCTGGGGCTCTGGAGGGGCAAGAGGGATGGGGAGCAGGAGAGTCAGGCGGGTCCGACAGGAGGCCTGGCCAGCTCAGGAGCTGGTCTCAAAGAGAGACAGAGGTGGAGGCTGGAACAGCCAAGAGAAGGGGAGCAGAGGAGGCCAGAGGCCCGGGGCAGCCGCTGGGGGGAGAGGACAGAGAGAGGCGAGGAGTGACTCTGCCCGGAGACCGCAGCTGGGAGCCCCCGACTCATCTTGGCAGCAGAGGTGGCCTGGAGGGCAGGTCAGACATCTCTGGCCAGGGGAGGGAGGCCACCCAGAGTCCCAGATCCAGATCCAAGCCTGGCACTGGCGGTTTTCTCCACGGAGGCCGGAGGTGGGTATCTCCCGGGGGAAAGGCTCCAGTCGGGGGAGTCAGGGGGGACTGGGATGACTGGGTCGAGCAGCCTCGTCCTCCTTGTACAGGTGGGCGCCAGGCCGCGCGAGGCTCAGAGGTCTCTGGGTTTCTCGGAGGGCGGGGGGAGGGGGCCTTCATCCGCTTTGCACCCCGGGGTCCTCTACACCAGCTGAAACCCTGATGAGCAAATGGAGGGGCTGGTTCTGCGGGCAGGACGTGGGCGCTTCCCCGGGCACAGTGCAGGCCACGGTCTGGGCGGGGGGCCCTGGGGAAGTCCCCGGACCCCACACTCCCTCTGTGTCTCTCCAGGCCCCCTGGGCCACTTCTCTCGGGGCCTGACTGACACGGAAGTGCAGCATGGGGCGCCTGCTGTGCTCTCCTGCACCCTCACCCGCGACCTGGGCCCCGGGGCCTGGTTTAAAGATGGAGTCAAGGTACTGCCCCCTGCCCTGCTCACCGGGGCGCATGGGGAGGGGGGTGCTGGGGGGGTGGGGGCGCTGGGTGGGGCGCTGGGTGGGGGGGGTGGGGAGAAGGGGGTCAGGGGTGGGGGAGGGGGTTGGGGTCGGCCCTAAAGCAGCGAAGAGTTAGGGGGTCGGGGCTTTGTGAGAAAGTTCTCGTTCTTCATTTTACTGATGCGCCGACTGCAGGAGAAGCCTAAGTAGCCGGGGTAGGTGTTTAGGGGGTGTGCCCCCCACTCGCCCCCCAGCCCCCTCCTGTGCCCCCCATCAAAAATGCATGTCCCGTCCCAACACCCGTTGGAATCTACTGTCCTTCAAGGTGTCATACGGCCACCACCTCCGCGCTCCCCCTGTCCCCGCACGTCCTCCCAGGAGGGTGGGCGTCACGGGGGTCGGAGCACGGGCCCTGGAGCCCCGCGCGACGGGCTCCCCAGCTGTGCAGCTTACGGGTGGGCACAGAGCGGCACTGCCCCGGGCTGGGCCACGTGCCCCACCTGCCGTGTCCCCGGCTATTCCCGGCCCACGCGTTAGGGCCTGGGCAGGGCCGGGTGACAGGCTCCTCCGTGCCCTTGGTTGGCAGCTCGGCTCCCAGGACGGAGTCAGCTTTGAGGAAGAAGGTCTCACGCGCAGGCTCCGCATTCCCCGCGCGCAGGGGACTCAGGCGGGGAAGTACGCCTTCGTGGCCGGCAGCCAGCGGAGCGAGGCCACCCTGCGTGTCCACGGTGAGGCCTCCTGCCCGGGACCCCGCCCCGGGTGCCCCTGCCCCAGGCCTCCCACCCCAGGAGCCTCTGCCCCAGGCCTCCCACCCCAGGTGCCCCAACCCCAGGCCTCCCACCCCAGGTCCCCCAACCCCAGGCCTCCCACCCCAGGTGCCCCAACCCCAGGCCTCTGCCCCAGGTGCCCCGCCCCACCCCTAAACCGCCCCCCCCCCCCGGCTGTGGGCTCACCGACTCTGGGTGCCTAACCTTATCCTCAGTCCCAGAAGGTGATTTGAGAAAGCCAACCGCCTCCTCCCTAGTCCCTGTCAGGAAGTCCTGGGGGGGCGGCGGGGGTCCAGCCCTGGTCCCTCCTGCTGCAGGTGAAGCCCACTCAGGCCCTGGTCGGTCCTCCTGGCGGGGGGCGTCTTTGCTCTCAGCCTGTGCTTCCTTCTCTGGGTCCACTTGCCCCCCCGCACCCCCCCCCCCCCCCCCCCCCGGCACAGAGCCCCGCTGCCTTTGACTCCCCTGCCTGCTGTGTCTCTAGATCGCCCTGTCATCGCTCCTGACGTGACAGAGAGCCTGAGAGAGCCACTGGTGGTCAAGGCCGGGAAGCCGGTGACCGTGAAGATCCCCTTCCAGAGCCACCTCCCAGTCCAGGCTGCCTGGAAAAAGGACGGGGTGGAGGTGGCGGGCGGCGGCGGCAGGGGGCCCCAGGTGGCCCTGGGGGACGGCTTCACCCGGCTGTGCCTCCCCAGCGCCGGCAGGAAGGACGGTGGCCGGTACAGCGTGACACTGAGCAGCGAGGGAGGCTCCGCGTGGGCGGAGGTCACCCTGCAGGTTATAGGTGCCAGCCCCAGCCTTCTCCCCAGCCTTCTCCCCGCAGAGGGTGCCCCCCTGCTCTGCCCCTCACGCGCTTGCTGCTGATGGTCCCAGCCTCCCGCACCTTGTCCCCCGCTCAGGAGAGGAGCTAACACACAGGGCCCGCGGGAGTGGTGGGGGTGGGATGGGGTCCCCAGCCTTGAGGGGCACCAGCAGCGTAGGACGACTCATGGCCAGAGGGCTGAGCGGGTCCCTGGACAGCACAGGGGTGCGTCCCGTGTCGCCTCTGCGGGCACCTGTGTGCGGTTGGGAGCGGAGACCGGGGCACTCCCCAGGTAACCCCGAGGCTCCCGGGCATCCTACCCCAAGGCAGGCTTACCCGCTGATGAGGGGGGACGTCCAGCACCACCGCCCTCCAGCTCCCTTGACCCCCCTTTCTCTTGTGCTCCTCTCGGTGGGCCCCCAGACAAGCCCCAGCCCCCACAAGGTCCCCTCGAGGTACAGGATCGCCACGGGGCTGGTGTCTGCCTCCACTGGAGGCCCCCGCGGGACGACGGGGGCCAGGCCCTGGAGCGCTACGTGGTGGAGAGGCGGCAAGCTGGCAGGAGCACCTGGCTGAAGGTGGGCGAGCCCCCCGCAGACAGCACCACCTTCACCGACGCCCACGTGGAGCAGGGCAAGAAGTACACCTTCCGAGTGCGGGCTGTGACCTCTGAGGGGGCTGGGGAGGCCCTGGAGTCCACGGAGGTGCTGGTGGCCCCTGAGGGTAAGAGGACGGGCCCTGGCCCCGGGATCTCCACTGCGCAGAGGGCGGGCAGGTCTGCCCCAGACGCTGGGGGTCACTGCGGACGCTCCTTACGTCAGCTTCCTTTGGGGGTTGGCGGGCGATCAGGAAGCAAGGTTTATGGGCTCTTCTCCCAGCCGTGGCTCTGTGGGAGCAGGGGCGGGCATGTCGGAACCTGGGGGGGGGGCAGCACCGTCCTCCATCAGGTGCCCTCCATCTGGAGCATCTATCAGGGGACTCGAGCCCGAGGGGCCTCAGGGCTGCCTCTAGGCTCCTGGGCCACCAGCAGAACGCATCCTAGGGCAGGCGGGTTCAGCCCCCTGGTGCCCCCTGAGCCTCCCCGACAGCGTGGCCACTCCCAGATGCCCCACTCCCTGTCCCCGGGGACCTCGCCGTGAGCTGGCACTTTTCCCCCGCCGCTGGCTGACCTGCACCTTCTCTGCCCGCCAGCTCTCCCCAGGCCGCCCTCGGCCCCAGCCATCCAGGCGGCCTCCAGCCAGGGCATCACGCTGACGTGGACGGCACCTCGGGGCCCTGGCAGCGCCCACATCCTGGGCTACCTCATCGAGAAGCGCAAGAAGGGAAGCAACACCTGGACGGCGGTGAATGCCCAGCCCGTGCCTGGTGAGTGGCCCCGCACCGGTGCTCCACGTTGTCCCCGGCTCCAGGGCTTCCCTAGATGACCTCCTGGCTCCAGGGTCCTGTGGCATCTCCATCCCTGATGCCTTTAGTACACGGGGTCTCGCTTGGGGGTCTTCACCCCTGGGGACATTTGGCAATCGCCTGGCAGTGTCTGGCTGTCATAACTGCGGCCGGCGAGGTGGGGGCAGTGTGAAGAGGCCAGAGATGCTGCTAAACATCCTGCGAGTCACGGGCCACGCCGCTGTCCGCATCCCCGTGGCTCCAAACCAAGAGTTATCTGGCCACAGCGCCAGGGTTAGGAAACCCCGGTCTAACCGAGGGGTTGGGATGGAAGCCAGATCTTCCCTTTCTCATCCATGACATGAGGAGGCGCGTCCCCGTGGTACCAACTTCCCTACAGTTTCCAAGTTCTTTCCGGGATGAGCAAGGACTCAGAAAAGTCCAAGCCGATGTTTGCAGGAGAGAGAACAGGTTCGAAGCCCTGAGCGGCTTGTCAGGAGGCCGGGTTTCGAGCCAGGGCCGTGCCCCTCAGGACCTCAGGACCTGCGTCTCTGGCAAGACGGCGGTGACCTAAGGGCGTTCTCCCAGCGTCCCGGTCATCCTGTCTCCTTTATCGATCTACACAGATTTATAGCAACAGGGATAAGCCTGCAAGGCAGAGAGAGCCGCAGAGGTTAAGGCACCTGTCAGCCTGCCCAGCAAGGTAGCGGCACAGCCCGACCGGGCCCGGGGCCTCTGACGCCCCGAGCGGTGATCTTTTTACCCCGGAGACAACCGAGTCACCCCGACCCGCCGGCCGGGCCGTAGAGAGGATGTGTTAGCCCTGAGCTTGGTCTTCTCCAGAGCTTGGAGGCACGAGCCACCTGCGTGCCCGTCGCCTGATGCTTCAGGGTGGGACTGATGCGGGTGGGCTTCCCGCAGAGAGGAGGTGGACGGTGACAGACGTGCGGCAGGGCTGTCAGTACGAGTTCCGGGTCACGGCTGTGTCGCCCGCCGGCCCCGGAGAGCCTGGGCCCCCGTCGGATGCCGTCTTCGCTCGGGACCCCATGAGTAAGTAGAGCACACCCCAGGTGGGGGTGGGGGGAGCTGGGGAGAGCTCTGGAGCCCGTGGGACAGGACGGGGGCTGGAGGTAGGTCAGGGCCTGCCCTGAAGGAAACGGTCAGGAAGGCTGGAAGGCTTCTGGGCTGAGACCTATTTTAGGGGCCCCGGGGGGCTCGAGATCAATAGGCCCAGAGGCCAAGCGGTGGGGATTAGAAGCAGCCCTTCCCAAGGTTACTCACTGTTGGGCCCCTGGGCCCCTCAGTCCTGGAGCTGGCCCACCCATCCGCCCAAGGGGGGACTTGTCATGACCGTGGGGGCGCTGGAACCTCACCATTGACCCTACAGCAGATGTTTGCTCAGGACCATCACGATGGCTAACATCGTGCCCGGAAGTAGGTGAATAAATCCGGGTCTCTGCTTCCCTCCCTGCGGTTTCACACATCCAGGCACGGGCGGCTGTCTAGGCCGTGTTGGGAACAGCACAAACAGCGACCTGTGCCCCAAGATGCTTACAGCACCCAGCTCATGACGTTGGCAGGGCCTACGGGAAAGGGGCCTGTCCTCCTTCGAGCCAAACTTCCCAAATTTGAGTAGAGAATAACGTTTCTACAAAATACCTATAAAAAAAAGCCTCATTCCGAGGCATACACCTTAGGAAACGCTGCTCTGTATGCCTGTCCAGAGCCTCTTATCTCACGAGCCCTTATGAGCCCGCTAACGAGGAGCCACCCCGGGGGCGGCACGCTGGATGGGCCACCGGGTCAGCCCCTGGGAGCACCGTTGTCTTCCTCCAGGGCCTGGCGCACTGCAGGTGTCCGGGCCGCTGGTATGGATCCGGCAAACGTAGAACGTTGTACAAGTTGAGTGGATAGACTGGCATCTAAGTTTCAGTCCTAGAAGGGCCAGCGTGTGGGATGGAGGGGGGAAAGCGGACACATGCATTTTATTCCTTGCAAGCGGACCAGCCCCGTCCTAGTTTATCCACCTCTCCCTCCCTTGCTCTTGCCCTTGATGGGGAACGGAGGGAGCAGCAGCAGCAGCAGCGTCCCACAGTAGCCACCCCGGTCGTGACATTTCCTAGACCCTTGCTGCTGAGCATGACCCCAGGACGGCAGCCTTACTGGGGGCTCCTCAGGAATGCTGAATCTCAGGCCTCCCCCAGGCCTTCTGAATTAGGATCTGTAGTCTTAACCCAATCCCCGGGCTGATTCGTGAACAAATGAAAGTTTGGGAAGACACTGCCCTTGCCTAGATTTAGAAACGCCCGGGCAGTGCTTACAAATCCTGCTGCCTGGGCTGCCCCCCACGTCTCCGGGGGTGAGACCTAGGCACCGGTGTTTTTAAAGCTCCCCACGTGATTCCGGGGTGCAGGCAGCCTGAGGAGACTCCTCTGCACATGACAGAGCCGTCTACACACATCACAGCTTTGTTCCCAGCCCCCCGTGGGTGTTACCATCTCTCCCACTTAACAGGTGAAGACTAAGTACGGACGAGTGCCAAAGGGCAGTCTTGACTAGCTTAGAGCTTAGAATCAAAAGATCCAGAATTCTAGTCTTCAGGGATCTTGGAGCCCAGGCAGTCATCAACTTAAGGTGCCAGATTTCAGGAATCACAGAAGGGTCGTCCGGGGGAGTGGGTTGACAGGTGGGTGGAGGAGGGGACTGAGTGCGGGGAAGCCTTCTGGAGCAGGTGGGCTGGGATCTGTGGTGCCCAGGGGAGGCAGAGTAGAGGCCAGAGTAGGATCTGGTTCCAGGTAGGTGCTTTCGGGAAGTCTAGAGGCAGAAGCCGTAAGCGAAAGAAATTCCCAGCCCCCCACAGGAAAGCTAATGAACAGCCACACTGAGTGGCCTCCCTCGAGAGAGGGCGATGCCATCCCTAACATTCCCACGGTGCCCGGCCAGGAGTCCCTGGGCCCGTGAGGGAGCTGCAAGTCACAGACACGTCGCACACCAGCATCACCTTGAGCTGGGCCCCGCCGGATGCTCAGGATGGGGATGCAGCCCAGGGGTACGTGGTGGAGCTGCGTGGCTCAGATGGTCTGCAGTGGAGCCCGTGCCACCCGGGCACCGTGCCAGACACCACCTTCACAGTCAAAGAGCTTCGGCCCCAAGAGGGCTACTTCGTAAGGGTGACAGCGGTTAACGACGGGGGCCGCGGCCAGCCCACGGCCCTGGACACAGTAGTGCAAGCCATGCCGGTGACCGGTGAGTGCCATCTCCTCCTTGCTGCAGGCCCTTCCTGAGAGGGACCTCTGGGCCGCAGCCATGCACCTGCTGAGTCAGGATCCCCTTCCCGGGTTTAATGACGCGCTGTTTCCCAAGCAGCCGTTAGGAGCCAGGCGCTGGACCAGGCAGGCCCATTCAGAAACGTTATCTCCTTACGACTCGTGAAAATCCTACGAGGTTGATGTTTGCACCCCCAGTTTCCAGATAGGGAAGCTGAGGTCAAGGGTGCTCTGCCCTGGGTCACACCACTGGTATGTGGCAGAGCCAGGATTTAAAGAGGTGACTCCCTGCAGGATTCTTTGCTGCTTCCCAACCGTGACCTAAGAAGGTGTAAGTGCTGCTCCGCACCCACGGTTCATGTTCAGAGTAGAGGACACCCAGGTCCCTGTTATCCAAAGATGGATCGTCTTTTCCCTTGGATGTAATTGCTTGGAAGCAGCAGACCTTCGACCCAGGGTGGCCTGGGCTGTCATCCCAACAGGCCCTAGTTGCCATCCATAGTAACAATAAGAGAGGCAAGCAATCCTGGAACCCCGTCCTGGCTCTGCCCCCGACCTGATGTGGTCTCCAGCCTGTCACTTCCTGCCTCACATCAGTGTTTTCTCGCCTGCAAAACCAGAGTCCGACGACTTTTGCAGTGTCCTCTGTTCTGGCTTAACCCTCACCGGCCCCTTGAGGGCTTCCCGTCTCAGCTCCCCTTCCTTCCCAGCTAGCACGCCCCCAGCTCCTGCAGCTCCCCCGCTGCGCCCCAGCATTCTCCTCCCAGCTCCCCTCTGCAAATCCTCCGGAGCGCCCACCCCCGCCCTCCGTGGATCTCTACATCAGCCAGTCTGGCCCAGACACGCCCCTCCAGCTCGGCCTCGTGGGAGTCCCGGGGCTGGGGCCCAAGCGTGGCGGGAGGTGACGCGCCGTCCTCTGTGTTCCAGTCCGTCCCAAGTTCCTCATGGACTCCGGCACAAAGGACTCGCGGATGGTCAGAGCTGGGGACACCGTTCGTGTGCCTATCTCCTTCGAGGTGAGTATTTCTGCTGGGGAGTGGGGAGGGGGCCCGCAGCGGCCCAGGGAGCCGGAGGCCCGGGGTGGGACCTAGCAGCTCCCTCGCTCGAGGGACAAATACCTTAACCTCTCCGGGCTCCAACCTCCTCATCCATCAAATGGGGATAATAGTAACATATCTCCAAGGATTTTTCTGAGGATTCAGGGACTTAATACACGGAGGGCACGTAAGTAGTGCCCGGCATACGGCAGACACCCCGTTTGTGTCATTTATTATTATTATTATTATTATTATTATTATTATTATTATTAAAATCATCATCATCATCTGAGTGGGAACTCCTAGGCGGCGGAGCTTGACTCACTCAGAAGTCACTCTAAATGACCTGTTCTTGACCACGAGACCACACTAAGGGCAGTGATGGGGACGAGAATCTAACACACCCTGAGAGCTCCCCGACCCCGCGCCCTGTGCCTCCCATGTGTCCTTAGATTCTTCCGTCCTCAGAACAATCCTGTGGGCGGAGTGACCGCAGCGTCCGCTTGACGCCACTGCGCCCAGGCCCCGGGAGTCTCCCAGGGAGTGGGGCCTGCTGACTCCCTTTCCTGCTTGCTCCCGCTCTCAAGCGGCCTCTCCCCTGGGATGCCTTTCCCCCCACTTACACCCTAGGCCCAGCTCACGTGCATCGCTCCCGGAGCTTCCCCTCCTGACCCCCCTTTGCTCTCGTGTCCCAGGCCGCCCCCATACCTGAGGTCACCTGGCTGAAGGATGGCCTGCCCTTGCCTAAAAGAAATGTGACCTCCACCAAGGAGGGCCTCACCCAGCTGCTGATTCCTGCGGCCAGCCTCTCCGACAGCGGCCTCTACACCGTGGTGCTGAGGAGCCTGCAGGGCGAGGAGGTTACCTACCGCTTCTCCCTCAGGGTGGCAGGTGAGGCCGGCCTGGGCGGGGATCCCGGCGCCCACCTGCCCCTCACCCCCTCACCGAGGCGCAGGGCTCCCCCTCCGGCCTGGTCACAGGTCTCAGCTACCCTCTGCTGCCTGGGAATACACGGTGACGCTGTCACCAGCCCTTCCGAAGCACTAGAGGAGAGACAGGACAGGCAGAGAGAGGGGGTCTGGGCGGGGTGAGGGGTCCATCGCTCTGCCCCAGGACCTTAGGGACGGTTATGCCGCGGCCTCTACCCGGAGGAGCTTCTAGGGTACAGACACGACCCAGGGCGAGGTTCCCCCTGCTCTAGAGGCGACTGTTGAGCCCCGGCGGACAGTCTGGCTCCTGCTGCCTGCACTTGAGGACCTGGGGGAGGGCCCTGCGGGGTCCCCCCCAACTCAGCCCCCGTTGCTTTCCCGTGCAGCGTGCCCAAGGGCGCCTGGACCCATCCGCCTGCAGGAGAACGTGCCCGGGACGGTGACGGCCGAGTGGGAGGCCTCCCCGGATGAGGCCGGGGAGGACCCCCTGTACTACGAGGTCCTGATGCGCTCGTCGGCGCGCGGGCGCTGGCAGCAGGCGGCCGACCGCGTGCACACCAACCACTACACCTTCCTGGGCGTGCTCCCCGGCCACGAGTACCACTTCCGGGTGGTGGCCAAGAACGAGCTGGGGGCCAGCCCGCCCTCGGACACCAGCGAGCCCTGGCGCATCCCCCGCCATCGGGGTGAGCTTGGGGGCTGAGGGGTGGCCCGCGTGTCGCTGGCCCCTTGACCAGCCAGCGGCCGGGACCTGTGGCCCTGCCCACCCTGCAGGGCGGCCCTGACCCGGGTTGGGGGGGGCGCGGTCCGGAGACAGCAGAGGGCTGTGGGGTCCACCTGTCCAGGGCGCCTGCCTTTGGGTGGGGTCTCAGAGGAGCGGCAGGCCGTACGGCAAAGAGGTTGATGTTTCTCTGAAAACCAAGCGTATTTTACAGTCAAATAAGATGTGGGCCTTCAAAACAGTCACTGGAAAAGGCGGATTATAAAACGGAATGTATGATTCCATATTTCTAAAACACAAAGATGTCTGGAAGGCTCCACCCCTAAAGGTTAGCTGTGGTCATTGACAGGCAGGGAAGTTAGGCTTGGTTTGTATTCCTTCCCCTTTGGACTTTCTTACACAGTCTGGCCACAGTGAAGTGGGTGTTAGCTTGTAGTGTAAAAAAAAAAAAAAAAAAATCCAAAATGTATTATAAGAAAAGGATAAAAAAGTGAGTTGAACCACGGGAGCTAAATTTACAGGTAAGATTGTGGCAGAAGGTCCCAGAAGGTGCTTTGGAACTTTGGAACGAGGAGCTTGCTGCCCGCTGCCCGCTGCCCGCCGCCCGCCCCGGCCGGCCCTTGTCGCCCGCTCACCCTCTCTCTCTCTCACCTGCTCTCCGCCACAGACAAGTTCACGGTGAAGGCTCCAGGCCACCGGGAGCCCGACCTGAGCCAGAAGCCCCGCTTCCTGGTGGGCCTGCGGACTCACCTGCTGCCGCAGGGCTGCGAGTGCTGCATGAGCTGCGCCGTGCAGGGCTGGCCCCGGCCCCACGTCACCTGGTTCAAGGACGGCCAGAGCCTGGCGGGCCACCCCACAGCGTACAGCACCGACGTGCTGGGCGTGTGCTCCCTCGTCATCCCCAGCGTCTCCCTCAGGGACGGCGGCCAGTACAAGGCCGTGGCCGAGAACGCGCTGGGCCAGGCCGTCAGCACCGCCACCCTCATCGTCGTGGGTCGTGAGGAAGAGGAGGAGGAGGAGGAGGAGGAAGGCGGGTCGGAGGAGTAGCCCCCCCCCCCGGAGCCCTCCCGGTGCCCTCAGGGTGGTCGGCCTGGAGGTCGGGATACCGAGGTCCTCTGGCCGCCGAGGCGCTACAGCAACTCTGTGACTTAAGCTGGACGGCGCTCGCCCTCCTGGGCCCGTGATTTGCCCACCTGCAAGGTGCAACGTCGCCCTAGACCGCGGAGCACGGGCTCTCGGCCTACGGGACCGTGTGCTCCCCCCTCCCCCCCAGGCCCCCGGGCGGCACCTCTCACGACGGGAGACGAAGGGCCCGTGTTACAGGGAAAGCAGTAACACTTGTCCGTAAGAGGACGTTTTCCTTGATAGTGATTAAACACCTTGTATTTTGAATAGAGAACAAAGTAAACATTTTAAATTATTCAGAGTTGACCTTTGTGGAAAAACCGGGTTCACCAACCGGAGCCCCTTTTCTGTCTGCGGCATCTACGCCAGGGGCCCCGGGAGCCACTCCGTAAGTGCCCCCGTGCGTGCACACACCTAGTCCTGTGTTTGGGGGTGGTCGTCAGGGAAGGAACTTGCCCGAGCTCGGCGAGCACGCGGGGTCTCTGCATGTGAAGCCACGGCGCCTGCTGGAGGAGCCCCTGGGCCGACCTCGTTGCTGTGTGAGCTTCACCACGGGCCGGGGGTGGGAGGGCAGCGGCTCCCCCAGGACCAGCCGGATAGCCTGGGGCTCTGTGTGTCGCAGGATCCAGCTCCCAGTGCCACCTCCCCCGGGGGTGGCCCCGCCTGGCTCCACAGCCATGGCACAAGGACAGGTCCCCAAAACCTCCCTCCTGACACCAGCACTGACCCAGAGAGCCAGTCCTAACAGATGGGGGACACCTGAGGAAGATGGGGGCCATTCAGCCTCTCCACCCCAAGCCAGGTCCCTGGACAGATGACGGTGAACCTCCTCCACTCTCACCGCGTGGCACCTTTCTTCTCCACTTCGGGACACCCGGGGACAACCTGTCTGCAGAGGGAGGCCAAGTCCTCGTTTTTCTGGACGTGGGTTCCTGGAGGGAGAACAGAAAGAGCTGGGCCTGCCGTGAACAGAGGAGGGAGGAATGAGGAGATCACCTGCCTGAAGGCCAGGGCATCGGGGGGTGCAGGGGGGCTGCTTTCTGTGCTTTTCGCCATTAAAACATTAGGCTAACGTGAGCCTGTCATTTGCAACGACCGTGGAGTTGGTGTGTGGGAGGCAGAGCCTTTGTTCCAGGCCCCGGCTGGGAGGACGGGTGGGTTCTGCGCCTCAGCTTCCCAGGGCGGAGAATCAGAGTGGGGTTAGACGGTCTGCGTGGGGATCCCTGGGTGGCACAGTGGGTTTGGCGCCTGCCTTCCACCCAGGGCGCGATCCTGGAGACCCGGGATTGAGTCCCATGTCGGGCTCCCGGTGCATGGAGCCTGCTTCTCCCTCTGCCTGTGTCTCTGCCTCTCTCTCTCTCTCTCTGTGTGTGTGTGTGACTATCATAAATAAAAATAAAAAAAAAATTTTAAAAAGAGGGTCTGCGTGGTGGAGAGACCCCCTCACTCCTCACCCACGTGTCCCACACTCTTCCGGCCAAAATCCTGTGAGCAACAGAGCAAGAGGCTTTCCTGGTGTCATCGTGTGGGGAACACGGAGCCAGGGCTGCACAGAGCCGCCCTTTGCCTGTCCCTCCCGGGGCCGGGAAGAGTCTGCACTGGGGAAATCCTACGCCAGGATGTGACCTGGGGCCCCTCTTGGAAGGTGCTGAGAGAAACCCCCAAGTGCATGGGGAATTGTGTCTCGTTCAGGGCTCTGTGGGTCCCTCCTCACCTTCTCCACGGTCCCCGCTGCCCTGTGTCACACACAGGATGGGTTGCCTCCCTTTGCACAGAAGGGCCTCGACGTGGCCTCCCGCAGAAGTTCTCACCCTCCCTCATTCTCCAGACACGGGTCCTGAACCTCCCAGGCTCCCAGGAAACACTCCAGAGTTCCTGGGGGTGAGAAGGAAGGAGGGAGCCCCAGGGAGGCTGAGCCCCATCCTGTCCCGGGGGCAGGTGGGTCGGCCCCAAGGCCCAGCAGGTGGCCCCACAGCTCTGCTTTGCACTCCCAGTACTGGGCTCCAGCCTGTGCTTCCCCATCTCCTCTCACGCCCAACTGCGGATCAGATGCAGGGGGAGGGATGAGAGGGGAGATGCCCAAGACACCTTCCTGAGGCTTGGGAATACGTAAGCCAGGGAAAGCTTTCCGGATCCGAGAGAGAACTGTCCACCCAAAATCGACGGAGGGCCTCCAGAGGCAGGGGCCTGGACTGGATGACTTTGTACAGGCCACGGTCCTCTCCTGCCCCCACTGGGGGAACCTACGAGAGCTGTTTCCCTTGGGTTTTCTCCTTTGCCATCTTTGCCTTGCTGTGGCCGCAGGCCAAACCGGGGCCATGAGCAAAGAAAGAAGTTCTTAGAAACTGTGAGGCAGTGGCTGGACACCTCGGCCTGTAGCAACTGTTCTCCTGAGGACTTTTTCTGCTGTAGGGTCCTGCAGTCGGCGGGGAGGGCAGGGCTCCAGCCCGGACCACAGAGCATCAGCATTACAGGAGAAGAGAGACTTTGCACAGGGGGATGACCCAGGGCCTGTGGCCCCGAACAGGGATGAGCCAAGAGCCCTTTCTGCATTTCTAAGGGCCGAGTGCGGGCCTGACCTTCCAAGAAGGTACAAGGACAAAAGACCCTAACTCCTGATGGCTTCTCAAGATCACAGATTTTCTTTTTTTTTTTTTCGTGTTTTTAATTTTTTTTTTAATTTTTTTTTTTTTATGATAGTCAGAGATAGAGAGAGAGAGGCAGAGACACAGGCAGAGGGAGAAGCAGGCTCCATGCACCGGGAGCCCGACGCGGGATTCGATCCCGGGTCTCCAGGATCGCGCCCTGGACCAAAGGCAGGCGCCAAACTGCTGCGCCCCCCAGGGATCCCAAGATCACAGATTTTCGGACTGTGTTCACTTATAACCCATCAGTATTTAATACTGTCAATTTCCCTTTAAACACTGTTTTAGCTGTATCCACAAGCTTTGATACACATCTTCATTTGCATTCAGTTCGAGTTATCTTCTAACTTATGTTATGATTTCTTCATTGCCCCGTGGATTATTTAGAAATGTGCTGTGTGGTTGTGAAAGAGGGGAGATCTTCCTTGACTTCTGCTTAATTCTACTGCAGTTAGGTAACACACTATTATGATTTTATGTTTTTAAAATCTAATGAAAGGTGTTTCGTGGCCCCAAATATGGTCTATTGTGTAAAATATTGCCCGTGCACTGGAAAGGCTGTGCACTCTGCTGTCGCTGCGGGGAGTGTTATGTAAATGTCGGTTACGTGGAGTTGGTTGATGGTGCTCGAACCTTCTACATCCTTACTGATTTTCTTTCCATTTGTTCTTTCAATTGCTGAAAATGGAGTGTTGACATAGCCAACAAAATTATGGATTTGTCCAGGGTGTATACTACATATCTTTAATTTGTCACAGTTACATTCAAATAACATGCCTCTTCCCATCCAGAGCAAGAACCCCTCCTTGCATTTTCTCCTCTCATCTGGGCTGCCATGCCTTTCCCTTCTACATAAGTTATAAACCCCAAATACATGATTATTTCTGCTTTAAAAACTCAATTGTCTTTTAAAGATATATATATATTTATTTATTTAAATATTTTACTTATTTATTCATGAGACACATAGAGAGAGGCAGAGACACAGGCAGAGGGAGCTGCAGGTTCCCTGCAGGGATCCTGATGTGGGACTCGATTCCAGGACCCCGGGGTCACGACCTGAGCCAGAGGCAGATGCTCAACCACTGAGCCACCCACGTGCCCTTAAAGATATTTTTAATAAGGAAAAAAAAAGTTTACATTTACCATTTTCCATGCTCTCTACTCCTTCCTGTAGATCCAGGTTTCCATTTGGCATCATCTTGCTTCCGCCTAAAGAACTTCTTTGAACATTTCTTGTACTGCAGGTCTCCTGACAGTGCATTTTCTCAGCTACTATTCATGGGGGAAGAAGTTGTTACTTCTCCTCCATTTTCGTCAGAGCCTACCAGAGAGATTTTTATTCAATGTTTTATTCTATAAATGTTCACAGAAAAGCTGAAATATTCATCCGGTGACCTGTATGCCCATCGCCTGGATTCAACAATTAGCATAGCTGTGTCTGCTTTGTCACGTATCTAACCACCGACACCGAGCAACATCTCTCTATTCACCCATAAATCCATCCTATTGGCTTTTTAAAAATACATTTCAAAGTAGGTTACAAACAGGGAGTACACTTCACACCTGACCGCCTCCGCCGGATGGAAGACTTTTGTCAGGTGCAGGACTTGGCCACGAGGGGGCTGCCAAGTGCCATCAAATGCTGTAGAAGGTCTAAGAGTCCACACTCCTGAAAGTGTCCTGTTCCGGGGAAGGTCGGAGGAAGAGGTTCTACAAAGTGTAAATGGCATCGTCTAGAAGGAGAGACTCCATCTGCAATGAGCAAGAAGACTGGAACACCTTTTATCTCCACCCTCAGAACCCCCCTCCTCTTTTTACAGTTATTTTAACTGTAAAAAAGAGAAAATAATACATCATTGACCACTTTCTTTTAGGTGATTTGTGCTATTAAAGATAGCAGTTCTTTAGATCAGAATCTCAGAAAACTTGATGAAGTCAGGGTGTCATATTTAGGGAAATGAGCTCATAAAATGAATTAAATGCTAATTTAATTTGATTTACTGATTATTACTCTCCCTGAGGGCAGAGATGTAGTTTATCCCTTATCCCCAGCATGTAGATAGAACTCAGGCACGTACTAGTGCTCACTAAATATTTACTGAGATAATGAGTGAATTCAAGTACTTAATTCCAAATACAATAACCATACGTTGAATGTTATTACCGATAAAAATTAAAACAAGTCTACTTTTAAATGTAATAGGATTCAAAATAGTTATGTAACAGCTACTGTTACATTGCAAAACGGAAAAAGTTCTAAAATGTAACTTCCCC